GGCAATGGCCACGATCACCAGCACAGCCACCACATCCACGAGGAACTAGGGAGCAAGATAGAGAAAAACCTTTAGCCAAAAACAAGAGAGAACGCTATAGTCGGGTTGGTGTCCCGACTATCTAATACCCGTCTTTCAGCTAAAGGGAGTGCGAGGAAGATATATATACAATTTTGATTGTGTATAACTTTTTAATGAGTGGTCCGATTTGAAAAATGTCTTCTACATTTCGATAGGTATAAATATACACAACAAAATTGCATTAATACTTCTCGGAAACCTTTAAAGGTGTGGGCGCCAGACACATAGTGGGCGATTGTAGGCGTTAGAGAGGGGGTGGCACTCGGCTGAAATAAACTTGCGCTGCGTAGGCAGCCCAAGAATATGTGTGGGAAATCTCAACCTTCTAGCTTTTGTAGTTTCCGAGATCTCAACGTTCATACGGACGGACAGACAGATAAAAACTAGTGGATAAACCAAGTCCACATACCTGAAGACAATCCATCATGGCCTGCGGCAGGGCCACATCCACGTTCTGAATGTCACTGGAGAACCGGTTGAGCACCCTTCCAGAGGGATTCGCATTAAAGAAATACATCCAGGCGCGGATGATGCCACGGTAAAGCTGATCATGCAACGTCAACGAGATTCGCAGGCACATGAAGAAGAAGCCAAAGGTGCGCAGCAGGTAGAGAGCCAAGGTGAGCAACAGGAGCACCGTGTACCAGGTGACCATCCTAGTCCGAGTGACCTCGTCGTCCAGCGAATCCACGCCGCGATCCTCCTCCCAGGTGGCCCAGCGAGAGATGAAGATGTCCATGAGCGCCTGGCATCCGCGGGCAAAAACGAACATGGAGAGCACCAAACTGACCAGGAACGGAGCTCCCAGGGCCCGAAAGTATGCCTTGTAGGTCTCGTAGCTCACAGCTCCCTGCATTTGCTGCTCGGCGTGACCATCCTCATCTATATTTCCGCTTGGATCTTCCTCCTCTCCCTTGCTGAGCTGCTTCGAGGTCCTGTCCACCTGGCTGAGCACCCGCTTCACCTGCTGCTTATCCGCCTCGATGGCCTCCAGATCGAGAGCCGCATGATGGGTGATCACATCCTTCAGCTGCTCATAGCTGCCCTGCTGGGTGAGTTTTCCCGCCTCCAGGAGCAGCAGGTGATCCACCGTCTTGAGCAGCTGCACATGATGGGTGACCAGAATGCGCATTTTGCCATCCAGCAGACGATGGAAGCACTTGTCCATCAGCAGTTTGCCCACCTGGGCATCGACGGCGGCCAGAGGATCATCGAATAGGTAGATATCCGCCTGACGATAGACAGCTCTGGCCAGGGCAATCCTGGCCTTTTGGCCGCCACTCAGGCTGATTCCTCGCTCGCCCACAACGGTGGCATCTCCCCGGGGAAGCAGCTCCAGATCTCTGTCCAACTGGCAGGCATGGACCACTGCTCGGTATCGCTTCTCCTCGTACTGCTCCACAAACAGGATATTCTCCCGGATGCTGCCCTGAAAAACCCAGGGCTGCTGGGCGGCATAGCTGATCCTGCCATGGATCTCCACGCGTCCCTGCATCAGCTCAATCTCTCCGAGAATGGCATGGAGTAGGGTGCTCTTCCCGGAGCCCACATTACCCACAATGCCCACAAACTGATTGGCGTTGAGGTGGAAGGAGATGCCCTCGATATGCGGCTTCCTGGGATGCTTGGTGCTCGGCTTGTCCCAGCTGGCGCTGACCTTCTGGAAGCTCAGGCACTTGGCCTCACTCTTCACGCAATGGAGGCGGCCACTCGGCGCTCTCTTCGGTTTCTCCGCATCCAACTCCAAACCGGGATTGTCTCGGCAGCAGGACTCCTCGCCAGGCTTCTCCACTTGCATCAGGAACTCCACCACGCGACGGGCACTGACCAGAGTCTGAGCCCAAGTGGTGATCGCCATGGGCCAGTAGTGCAGCAGGGAATCGTTCAGTAGGCCGTAGTATGACGAGAGGATGAAGACCTTCTTGGCCGTCACCAGATCGCCCACATAAACGTAGGCCACCAGGCTGAGGAAGAGCGATATCTTCGAGATCATATTGGTGCACTGCAAGGCGGCGTAGATGCTCATGGATCCCCGGATGGCCTTCACCTCCGACTGTCTGACCGCAGCAATCAGACGTCCGAAGGACTTCTCCCACGCATACATCTTGATCACCTGGATGGCGCTGATGATCTCGTTCATCAGCTTGACCCGCTCATCCCGATGCTTTGCGGATTGCGATCCGAAATGTGCCGCCGCTTTGGCCGCCCAGGCTTGGAGGGGTATCAAAATCACGATAAAGGCGATTCCAATCAGGGATGTCCAGCCCACCTGGCGGTACATGAGGTAGCCAAAGATGCACGCCTCCACGGGTCCCTTCCACAGGTCGTGAAAGAAGTAGAAAGTCAGGTCGAACTGGGAGAGATCGATGGACATGACTGAAATGGCCAGGCCTCCGAGTCCTTCGCCACTGCTCGCCGAGGCGCGGAGGCATTTCCGGTAAACCAGGCCAGCACAGGCCAGTCTCACCCGCGTTCCCACCGCGAAGACATAGAACATGAAGGGATGGAACACCAAGGAGGTGACCAGGGAGCACAGGACAATGCCCATGGCATAGAGGTAGGCGCTCTCCTTGGTCACTGTCGTCTGACCAGTGGCAAAGTACGAGATCAATCCGCCGAGCAGCAAGGGCTGGAAGGAGCTGTAATAAAACAGGATAGAAAAAACAAGAGAGAACGTTATAGTCGGGTGCCCCGACTATCAGATACCCGTTACTCAGGTAAAGGGAGTGCGAGGGAGATGGAGATAGAGATAGAAAACGTTGATCACGCATAACTTTTTAACGAATGGACCGATTTGAAAAATTTCTTCTACATTTCGATAGGTATTGATAAACACCATAAAACTGCATTTTTACTTTTCCGAAATATTGAAATTTTTAAAATCGTATATAAGGGATTGTGGGCGTTAGAGGGGGCGTGGCACTCTTTTGAAACAAACTTGCGCTGCGTAGGAACTCCTAGAATCTGCATGCAAAGTGTCAATCTTCTAGCTTTTATAGTTTCCGAGATCTCAGCGTTCATACGGACAGACGGACAGACAGACAGACGGACAGACGGACAGACGGACATGGCTAGATCGACTCGGCTAGTGATCCTGATCAAGAATATATATAGTTTATAGGGTCGGAAACGCTTCCTTCTGCCTGTTACATACTTTTGCACGAATCTAGTATACCCTTTTACTCTACGAGTAACGGGTATAATTAGTTCCTTTGGAAAAATCTTGATTATAATGTATTTTTAATATTCCAAAAATTAAAAGAGAAGAATCACTAGACACAAAATAAAATCGATATGAAACGTAGATCGATCTTACATTATTTAAGATCAAATTTAATTTGATATGTGGCCAGGTAAATTTGACCTGGTCGAAAAGAGTATTTCATCTGAAAATGTACATGGCCATATCGATTTTACAGGAACATGCTTTTTTTTGTGTACATTTCCGTAAACATATTCAGCACGCAAGCTTAAACTAAAAATATATTTCACTCATGATTAATAAGTTTCGAGTGAGGAATTAAAAATATAAAGATAACACTTAATTCATAAATTTACTTACTGAATGGCCATCTCCAGCAATGAGTATAGAATACAAACGGGAACGAATTGCCAGCCATAAACACGAAAGATCAATCGCATAAGACTGGGATTCGTTCTCTTGGACTCCATCTCCCAGTGGGGCTGGAGATTCCTGGTCAGGGATTCGCTGTCGAAACTGGGCAGGTGTTCGAACAATTTACTGGCGTCCAGCTCCTCCCTTCTACCCTTGCGGAAAACACTGTGCATCCATCTGAAGGTGGGAAAATGATACGTAGTTCAATATCTTATCAATGTATCTTCACGATGGTTGAGTAGAAAATGACAGGCACTGATCCCGGTCATTACTACGTGACTTCGCGACAGTCAATGGTCAATCAAAATTACAAAATTGCGAAATAGGAAAGATCTGGTAACATAAAATGGGATATTGGGATATTAAATTTTCATAATTAATAAAACTTTTTAAATCACAGTCTGGTAGGATATCCGTTAAACCAATACTATCCAAAATTATAAACTTTATTGAACTCCTGGGCACTTAATATATCTGAACTATTTGGGTTTATGGCTCCCGATATGGTTTATGGGTACTCCCGAGCACCAATTATCACTAGGAGCTTATCGCATGCCGTAAACTGTTCACTGATTGACCATGACCATGGATTCGCCCGAAGTGATCCGGTTTCTGGAGAGATTTTCACTTTTCACCCATAAAAAAGAATGACGACTCACAGGAACAACCACTTGGAGATTACATTGGCCTTGATAAACGGATTAGGCTCGCGTTTGGGACTCGTCTGTTTAGAAGCGTCCATGGCTCCAAATGATCGCGACGCTTGACGGATTCAAAATGAGCCAAAACGGCCGGGTGAAGGCGCTTTTAATGCTTCCCAGACGGAGCGGTGACGTCGGTTGATTGTTTGCCCGGATAGCCACCATCTTCTACGGTTTTGCACTTGGCACAACGCCCGTCCGTCCGCCGATAAAGTGGTCTACTCAACACGTTTCTTGCCTGTTCTTGGGTTTAATTTTTGATAGTGATACGCAGTGATAGTGACTAAGGCGTAATCGATAGCGCAATTAGCCTGCAATTCAAATGGCGGCCATTGCTGCAATTTGCGCCCCAAAGTTAGATCGTTAAACCCAAGCGGAGCCATAAATCTTGACCTGATTCTGGGGATAAGCGGGAGTTTTAGCGGCCTTTGTCTTGAACCATAATAACAGCCAGATAGCCAAAGGTATCCGAAGTTGGCTTTTTGTGAGCCAGCAGCTTATCTAATCTAGACCGCTTGTTATGCTATTATTTTCGGCACAGACACGAGAAACTATGTTTGTCCAAAGTGTCCCAGTTCAATACACCCAGATAAGGCAAGTTATTCATTCATGACTAAAGCTTTTATGGTGCTAAATTACGGGGAATTTCGGGAAACATTGCACAGCCTGTGGACAAGGCGATAGATGAGCGATTGCAGGCGATTTGAAATGCAAATTGAAAACTTACTGGCTTTTGAAAACAAATACTTGCAGTTACACATTAAACACAGACAATTTTAGCTACATAAACTAGGTTGGGGTAGTCACGAAATCTGATAAAGCGTTAGATACCCAGGGGGTGCGGTACAAATTGATAAAACAGAAGTATAATATCATGTTATAGGCTCGCTATCTGGTCTATAGGTAAGGGAATTGTGATACACTATTGGCTATTTATCACTTTATCAGATCTCTTGAGCACCCCAATATACTGGGTAGATTCTAGGGCAGGCTGTGCAGGTCGTGGAGCGTGTAGAGCTGTTCCGTGCGGTCGTAGTTCGTTCGCATGTGCTCCAGCATGGTGGGCAGGTTCTCCTTGGCCACCTCCACATCGGAGCAGACCTTCTTCAGGAGGTCGCCCCGCGTGGGCATGGCATACATGGCCAGACGGGCTCCCTTGCGGATGAGGAACGAGTGGTGCTTGCCCAGGGTGTCATCGTAGGCCGCCTTGCACACGTCCACGGTCTTTTGGTCGTCGGGTAGCGCCTGGATCCGGTTGAGAAACTCGTACACAAAGTCTAGATAAGGCAGACGCAATCAATTAACCACTGTGGCAGTTGGTTCAATCGACGCACTTACCCAAACCGCGGTGAAGACGTAGTAGGGTGCGACTCCCGGACACGTAGCCCTTCTGATTGAGCAGCTGGGCCTCCTTTTCGTACTCCAGCATCGTCCTGAAGCTGCTGAAGTGCTCCAGCTCCTCCGTGTCCTTGGCCCGCAGGGCGTATAATATATCTAATTTGCTGCGCACATCGCTGCTGACAAAACTGAAGACACTGCCCATCAGCTGGAAGAACCTGTGGGTCAACCGAAACTATATAGAAGGGAACTTTTATCTTTAAAGATCATCCAACTTACTTCATTATGTCCTCATAGGCTGCCAAGTAGGCGTCCATTAGTACGTCATTCTCGTCCAGGAGGCTGCTCTCGAAGAGGGTGGAAACCTTTAGGATGTCGAAGCAGTCCCCGTTTTCCACGGTGCCATTAGTCTGCGTCGCTAGCCCCGTTTCACTCATTGTTTTTTAGCTTTTTTCAGCTGCCCTTCTTTGTTTTGCTACGAACTTACTTTAAACTTTTTTAACTTCGGGGAATCAACGTGACCGTTCCCCGAAAATATACCAAAAGCACCCACCCCATACGTAAAAATACTCTGAATACTCTATCACAAACACAAACCATGGTTGGAAACGTCGATAGAAACTCGTTACTAAACCGTCTATTGTGAATCAAATTAAATTTAAATTTGAAGTGACAAATAAATAGCTGAATTCTTCCATGTTGCGACATAGTTTCTAAGCGTTTACGGGCCATACCGTTAACCTTTCTAAAATTAGGGAGATTTCAAATTAAAACATAGTTATTTTAAATAATGCATGAATAATTAGGCATATTAATAATAAAGATCCTTGTTTTAAATTAACTATAAGGAGGTTTGTTATGAGCCATTACTAAATCAAACTTCTTTTTAGTTGACATGTTTTGGAAATCAATAAAATATCTTTTATTAATATATTCCGTGGGCTCATTTTCATTCTCTGTTACGTCATACGTCATGGTTGTATTATACAGAAACTTGGTCTAAAGAGTGATTGAATGGATCTGATTTTACGTAGTACATTTTTTATGAACGTGTCTTAAAGGACGACAAATGCTGTCTGTCTGTATGAACGCTAAGGTATTGGAAACTACAAAATTAGAATGTCAGGATTTCACATCAAATTCTAGGGCTTCTTGCGCACCGCCAATCACTCCAACGCTGCAATATGCACCTTGTATTCAAGTACATTTATTGTAATAAGTAATGTAAAACAAATAGTTTAAATCATACTGCTTTTTAAAAAATTATGAGCCAAAAATGGAATCCACGCTAGGGCTGTCCAACGTTTATTAAAAAGGAATTTCTTTATGAACTTATAATACCAATTGATTCCTCTAGTGCAAAAACATTTTTTTTATGAAAAATTATTTTGGCGGAAATTGTGATTACGTAATATATGGTTAGCCCCTAAACTTTTAAGAAATTATTTAAATTTCAATATTTAATATCTGATTCCGGAAATCGTTCGCCTTATCAGCTCGTACAGACGTTTGGTGCGTAGAGTGATTTATTAGGATTCTGGAAAAATTAGATTACCAATTTCCGTGTTACTCATTAGATATAAATAAATAATTGTTCGTAATAAGAAATGTTTTGGGATACTATATATTAAACTATTTGTATAAAAAGCGCACAGTTTGAATTGGCGTTCTGAATCAAGAAGTCGTTAACCCAAAATATAAGGCACCATTATAACAGAGTAGAGTGTTAATCATGAAAGGCATATATCCTATTGTGTTTTTGTGTTCGATCTTCGTATTTAAGGATGGTGAAGCCACGGAAGATTATCTTAAGTCTTATTCGGATCTCATGAGGTCCTATATGAACCTCAGTGTAGATCCCTGTGATGACTTTTACGAGTATGCCTGCGGAAACTATCGAAATGTGAAGCAGGACCGGTTCTCCTTAGGTGGCCGGTTCAATTTTGACGATATACGTTACACATTGGCTGACATCACAGGTGAACTGGTGGGCAGGATGGATCTGGCGGAAACTCTCAATGTGACCACTGAGTTGGAGGTGGCTCAGGGATTCTACAACGCCTGTCTGGAAGCTAATCTCTATCCATTCCCTGCAAACGATCCCGCTTATCTAAGGCTCATCCGGTCGATCGGAGGTTTTCCCGCCGTCGACGGGGCCGCTTGGGATGCCTCCAACTTTAGCTGGTTCAACATGAGCGCCCACCTGACTAATTACGGCGCAAAAGGGCTGATCAGCGAGGAGCTTCTAGCGATATATCCCTTTACTCCGTACATAAGTAAACGGCCACAGCTGGGCTTTGACACCATCGTTCTAACTGACAACATCGCAAGTAATACTTCTCGCACCTACAAACTCAACGAGGAGCGCATGCGCGGATACCTTAGATCCTTTGACCTACCAGAGGATAAGATTGCCGATGTAATCGACGGTATTTTTGCCTTCTGGCGCGAGGCTCAAGAGGTTGCCGATAAACCAAACATTATCTTCGACGATATCAATTATGTAGATATTGCCTGGATTGATCAATATGATTTGGTTATAAAAAATCCGTACTTTGAAAAATTAGACAAAGTTTGTGCCCGGCACACTGAAGCGGTGGCCAATTATCTGGCCCTGCAGTTGCTCTTTACATTTGACGCCAAACTCGAGGCGACCAAGTACCAAAATGACTACTGCAAATTAGAGCTGCAGACCTCCATGTCTTTCCTCTTCAACAAACTCTATATGGCAGTGAGTCCTGACCAAACTTCACGAAGATTATAAATTTCTTATATATTATTTTTGCTTTTAGGAGTATTTCACTGACGAAAAAATGTTGGAGGTTGCTAAAATGGTTGAGGAACTGCAAAAAAGTGTTAGATTGGATAGCGACGATCTGTGTCCCAACCTTAATTACGACATCGGCTCCGCTGAGGATGAATTACTTACCGACCGCCTAATCCGGGAGATTCGTCGGCTGGAAGTAGTCAAAGATAGCTACGCGGCGACTAATATAAATCATCATCGCCTAAGGGTCGATATCGACCGCTTCAACAGACGCCACGTTCAGGAATTGTCCAATGCCACAAAATCACAAATTTTTCTGCTGGGGATGCAGGTGCAAGCTTATTATTTTCGCCACTCTGTTAGCATCTTCGCTGGCCTTCTGCATCCACCCGTTTACCACCAATCTTGGCCGCTCTCTTTGAAATTTGGCACCCTAGGCAATGTCATCGGCCACGAGATCACGCACAGTTTTTATTTTTTCACAGATTCATTGTTGATGTTTTGTTGGAAACAAACAAACACAAAATGCTTTGTGGATCACTACAGTAATTACCTGATTCCGGAGATTGGTCGTCATATCGATGGCGAAAGGACAGTGCATGAGAACATCGCCGACAACGGTGGATTGCAATACGCAATGGCGGCCTACCGCAGCCACATGAAACTTCTAGAGGATCGTGGGCAGGAAAAGATCAGCGAGCAGATGCCAGGACTCGACCTGTTGCCGGAGCAGCTCTTCTTTCTGGGCTTCGCTCAGCTATTCTGTTCCGATTACAAAAAGGAGCAATACTGGGATCGTCTGCAAGACACTCATACCGTCGAAAAGTATCGCGTTTTGGGAGCCTTGTCCAACAACGAGGACTTCTTCAAGGTCTTCAACTGCCCAGTGGGAAGTCGCATGCGTCCTGAGGACAAAACTTGCCGCCTGTAATAATCTTTTCAGCATTCGTCTGAAAAATTCATAATACATTTTCAAAATTTTTGTATTCTTTAATATAAAACAAGTGGCAGAAACCCTGGCTAAAAAAAAAGATAAATAAATAAAAGCCAAGCACGCAAGAACTAGGAAATTAATAGTGTTGGCAATATTTAAGTATACACGGTACCAGGTACATGCCAAAAATATAACTAAGCTCTAGTTATGATTGCTTTTTGAATATATTTAACCAAAACAAGAGAGAACGCTATAGTCGGGTTCGTGTCCCGACTATCTAATACCCGTCACTCACTAGTCGGGTTGGTGTCCCGACTAATAATCGTAACTCAGCTAAAGGGAGTGCGAGGGAGATAGATATAGAAATTTTGATTGCGTATAACTTTTTAATGAATGGTCCGATTTGAAAAATGTCTTCTACATTTCGATAGGTATAAATATGCACAACAAAATTGCATTTATACTTCTCGGAAATCTTAAAAGGTGTGGGCGCCAGACACATTTTAAAATCGTTAGTGGGCGATTGTGGGCGTTAGAGGGGGCGTGGAACTCGGCTAAAATAAACTTGCGCTGCGTAGGAAGCCCAAGAATATGCGTGGAAAATCTCAACCTTCTAGCTTTTGTAGTTTCCGAGATCTCAGCGTTCATACAGACAGACAGACGGACAGACGGACAGACGGACAGACGGACATGGCTAGATCGACTCGGCTAGTGATCCTGATCAAGAATATATATAGTTTATAGGGTCGGAAACGCTTCCTTCTACCTGTTACATACTTTTGCACGAATCTAATATACCCTTTTACTCTACGAGTAACGGGTATAAATAGTTCAATAATTTGAAAGTCTTAGTTTGTTATGGGAAATATTTGGGACTGTCCATGATTAGTTCATAATTGATTCATCAACCATATGTAACGATCAAACAAATTATTTTTGATAAGCACGCAACGCTTTCCAGATTGTCGCTATATTTGGTTTTTTCAAGGGCTCTTATCGCAATATAACAATTATGTAAGTTCATTCAAATAAAATATTATTTATACCCACGAATAGAAGGGTTAATAAAAATATTTTGTATTGGAATGGAATATGTGGACTATTATGGGTCCAGCAGTCGACACTACAAAAATGGTACAATTACGTGGCAATCCAAAAGAGTGCTGATAGTATAGAACCGGGCTTTAAATCAATCGGTTGGGCTATAAATTCGAATAAAAACATGGGATTACTAGAAAAAATTTTCGTTGGAACGTTCTGCAACATCTACTTGCTTGTTGTATTATTTTCCATGAGGACATACAATAATTCGGTCAATTGGAGGCTTTACCGCCGTCGATGGCAACACCTGGAATGCCAATATCTTTCACTTTCATTGTTGGCCACGAACTCACCCACAGTTTCGGCAGAAATATGCCCTTGCGGTTCGAGGAATGCACCCGGTGCTTTGTGGATCAGTACAATAAGTTCCTGGTATCGGAGGTAGATCGCCATGTCGATGGACAAAACACATTGGACGAGAACATTGCCGACAACGGTGGTTTGCGACAGGCATTTGCTGCTATAAGGAGAAGGAACAATACGACATTTTATTTAGCAATTGTATCATCCTTAATTAAAGACTCAGAGCTCGAGAAATGTATTAGTTTGATAGCTTTAATTAGTTGATCACTCTACCAACACAGTTCACTAATCACTAATGCAAGAAATGAAATCTTAATAATCTGAATTGGAATTAGGGGGGTAGACAAGGGTGAAGTTTGGATGGTTAAACAGGGTGGTTATTTGGCAAAGTCAACATTTCTTATTTTATATTAAAAATAAAATCAAGATTATTAATTTGCAAGACCTTGACATTCACACCATTGAAAAGTTCCGCGTACTGGGCGCCTTATCTAAAAACCAGAACTGCCTCCATGCCTTCAGCTTTATACATGCCCGCTTTAGTAATCTGCCTTCTTAATATTTGCAAACCCGCTTGGCAAAACTATAAATAAAGCATATCTAAACGCTTATAAGTTGATTTTTATTATAGACCTCTATGTAAGTATCTTAAGCTGATGAGAGATTCCCGCTGCCACTGCCGGCGCCCTTTTTGGTGGGCCGATAAGCAATCACATAGCGCTGGGCCACCGGCAAGGGTTCGGCATAGCCGTTCATGTACGACGAGTCCTCGAAGAGCACCTCGTAGTCCTCGGTGGCGGTCTGCGGCAGGCGGTGCACAATGGCCTTGTAGAAGCAGGTGGTCTGCGGATACAGAGCCATGACCACAGTGTCCTTGGGAAACAGGGCGTGGCCATCGGTCTCTGGATTGGCCCGCATCAGAGGCAGCGGGATAACCTTCCGCTTGCTCAGCACATGGCGATCCTTCTGCTCCTCGTCAATGTCGATCACGTCGTATTTGTTCTGGCGATGCAGAAACTGCACCACTTCCGCCAGGATCCAGTTCTCCTCCTCATCGATTCCCTTGGCTAGGGCTGCCACATTGTCGCCAACCTGAAAAATAATAAAAGGTAATTAATTTAGATAAAAACAGAAGAAAATTCTGGTTGAAAATAATATTTTAAAAACGCACAATTATGAAAAAAAAACCGTAATTAACATTAGATTAATTTAAAAACTTAAAAAAATGACTCTTATTAGAATCTTTTTGAGAACTAAGGAATCTTTAACCGATTTGAAAATATCTGATATACTTTACTACATATACACACAAAAGAAAACTTGGTAAAATCAACTGTTATAATTGTCAAACAGTCCCTAACCACAAAAAATTGTCACAACTAATTAAATAGTTACCTACTTTCCAGGGAACGTAACTGTTATAAGTTTTATTTTAAAAATCACACTTTAACAGTTATTTTCTGATTTGTAAAGTAAAACTCAAAGAATAACTGTTATTTTTTGAGTTTTATAATAAAAGTTGACAAATAACAGTTATTCGTCGTCATCAAAAATAAAACTCAAACTTGATTTATGGCGATTTTGTGGGTAAACAAAATTTTAAAAAAATATAGGAATAAAATATGCGCGGTTGCCTTTTTTAACAAATTTTTAGTAAGTTATAAAAAGCACGGGTATCATGTTTTTTTTAATTATTTCATTTTTTCAAAAATGTCAAGGGAATAACTGTTATTCATAAAAATCAAAAAATAACAGTTATTTTTTGAGTTTTATTATAAAAATCAAAAAATAAAAATCATTACGGATTTGTAAACTACAATGGCTAATAAAAATTGTGGTGTATTTAAAAAATTTTTAGGACCCTTCTAAGTGCGTGATTTTTTTGTATGAAAAATTTACAATAACAGTTACTTTCACATCAACAAATACACACAATTAGCAAAGACACACACCTAGTTAATTGGTATAATTGACAATTTTTTGTGGTTGGTTCCTGTTTGACAATTTATTTTTTGTGTGTAGGAATTGGCAATTTTTGAGACCCACCTTGGCCACATAGTTACCCTCGGCGGGAATGGCTCCACATAGAGCCGGTGCCCTTTCTCCCAGTTTTCCCACGAATAAAGGCAGTGTTTGGGCGGACAATTGTACCATTTTCATGAGGGCTCCTCGTCGAATGGCCTCCTTGTTTCCAGCATTTCGAGCTGTTATGGAGATAATGATATATTCAGTTTATAAAACATGTTTCCAACCCACCTTGAATACGCCTCTCGTTGCGAATACTGCGAATCTCATGGATTTTGGCCAGAGCAGCGCGAATTGTGGCCTCCTCCTGGGCAGCCTCCATTAAACTGGCCTTCAGCAGGGGTTTCACCTTCTGATTGGTGGCATGGAGCGATCGCACCAGGCTGGAAATGGAGTTCTCCGCCCGACGACGCTCCTCGTCCACAATGTGAATGTGCTGTTGAATATCCTTCAGGCGATCCTGCAGAAAAATGGTTGCAAAAATATTACAATAAGGCATAAGAACCCCAATATGTTATGCATTTTCACCTGAATCTGTTGAGCTGCACTTTCTGCAGTTAGTGGCATCTTGCTAGTGCTTAATTAAAGTTAAATAAATAAGGTATTTGGCAATTTGTTATTTTGTGCAATAAAAATAAACAAAAACATCAAGCCGACAACGCGTTAGTGTTTTTTGCTCATGCGATAAGCCAGAATTATTGCTTACTTTTTTCCTAGATGTATTTTTTACATCTAGTATTATTTTAACTAACATTAATTTTAACAGAATGTAATTAGTCATGTAAAATGTAGTTAGAAGCTTGTATGTAGTTACGTAGGAAATTCAAAAGAAAACAAAGATAAACAAATATAAAAACAATGAATAATAAAACAATGATAGAGCCTTTTATTATAAGTGAAGTTTATTGTTTTATTTTATTTTACATATTGTATTCGCTTTTTACATTAGTGATGGTCCAAAATGCGCCTAACAGCACGCGGATAACGCTGTCTTCACGTGGCTGGCATTATTTAGGTGATTTTCTGCGCGTCAGTACATCCACACTAGCTTTCCCTTCTTTTCCATCGCGTTTCCGTAAGTGTGCTCCGCGTTTTTCCCCTAGATTTTGGTTTTAATTGTAAAATCTCTATTTGCAGCTAGGAATTCCAGTGTGCGAAAAACGTAGGTGGCCAAAACACAATCGTAGCCATGGAAACACCGGCGAATGCTGGGTTTTTTTTATCTAGCAGTGGAGCTCAGTGTATTAAGCGCATCATACAAATAGTAATGGAGAATATTTTCTGTTTTCATGTGCCTCCTCGGATAACCGGAACAGCTTAAGATGGCCAAGTCCAAGAACCACACAAATCACAACCAGAACAAGAAGGCCCATCGCAATGGCATCAAGCGCCCGCTGCGCAAGCGCCACGAGAGCACCCTGGGTGTAAGTATTTGGAAATATCTCAAGTAAACCCGGTTGATAACCAACCTCTCTGTTCCCTCCACCAACCAGATGGATGTGAAGTTCCTGATCAACCAGCGTTACGCCCGCAAGGGAAACCTGTCCCGCGAGGAGTCCGTGAAGAAGTACAACGAGCGCATCGCTGCCCAGCAGGGCAAGCCCAAGCCCGTCACTTTGTAGATGATTGGCCCGATTTTGGATCATTAAAGGACAAATCAGTTTAACAAACATCCGTCTTTATTTGTGTGCTCACTCTAGTAGTAGATGCTCAGCACCTTGTGGAAGGGAATGTGCTCCAAATCGGCATTGTGCTGACGCCGGTAGTCCCACAGATACTGATCGATCACAATGGAGTTCACGTTGTCGAGCGAGATTTCGGTGTGCTGCTCCTTGAGTATCTTGACCACAGCATCCCTCACTTGTTCTATGATGTATATGGATGCGCCGCGTATCTCCACCTCGCGTGGATCGCCGTTCTCCAGAATGGTATCCGACTTGAGGAACTCCATTAGCTCGTTGGTGTACTCCAAACTGCCAAAGTGCACTAGGACCTGGGGAATCCGATAGTCGGCAAACATGGTGATCTGATCGATGTCCTCGAAGTAGCCAAGTCCTTGTCCTCTGTAGCAGGACCACACGTCGCCCACCAGGATTTGGGCTCGCTTCAAGATGGAAACTCTCTGCCCAGCGAATTCCGCTTCGTCGCGGAAGCAGGGAAACTCCTCAACCATGAGATTCAGCAGGCGCACCGCTGATTTGTCCGCCTTTTTGATGACATTTTCGAAACTACCTTCGTACTTTTCGATTAAAACTTTTCCCACTTCGTGAAGCGACTCCAGGCGCTTTTGGATCAGGGGAATCTCGGTTTCCCCATCGTCAGAACGGAAGATGCTCTCCAGCGTCTTGAGATCAATCTCGGAATAGAACTTGGGATTAATCACATCCACGTTTTCTTTAATGGCTCTTTTAACAGCGGCACATAGAGCAAAGTACCCGGTGTAGCCATCGACTTTATATTTGGTGTAGTTATCTGTGGGGGGGATTACTCTTGAAGATAAGAGATGCTATGTTATATATTTCCCTATTTACTCACTGGGTGTCCAGAAGCAAAAGTTGAGGGTGTCCAGCACAAAAACCCAATCGGCTGCCAGATTTGAGTTGGGATTAGGATGCAATTCATGCTGCGAAAAGTTCTCCACAGCGATGCGCTTTTCCTTTAGGCCTTTTACGATCTCCTGGGTTAGTTTTTCAATGCCGGCGGGCAGAACACGAACATGTTTGGCGTGCTCTACGATATGGGCTCCAGATTCCCTAGGATTTAGCTTGCCTCCACACATTTTAAGCGTATTATCAAACTTTTTAATTGATATGTCGCGACTTTTGGCGCTGCAACAGGCGTTTGGTATATTTAGGAGATTTCCTACCCGCGACCATCTGGCAACGCCGCCAGGGCTGGAGAGTCTCAAAAATAGTTTCGGCTGGGTGGCAACCCTAAAAAGACACATGAAGGAGCTGCGAATTTCGCTCGTCGCTCGTGAAATAAAATACGCAAATAATAGTTAGATGGCAGCTGTATTCCGCCAAACTGCCGCCTGTTTAGTGTAACCTATTGTGTAATGAATAATTACTGAAAAGCGGGTGAAGAAAGCCCTAGCAAAAGTGCCGTTCGTTGCTCAAACCGAAAACTCTTCAATTTGTTCGTGTGACACTTTGTTGTTGTGAATGCACTGGAAATATTTATGTTACTCAAGGATTACTAAAGTGACGAAAGTTCTTTGTGCCGTTGAAGAAAAAGATTTTATCGACGTTTCAGTTGGCACCCGCACGCACACACCGAGACACCCGCACCCACACAGATACGGCTACGCGGATACAGATACATATACAGATACACGTGCGCTCAGCTGTTAATGAATGCTGCTCAGCTGTCGTTTGTTTTCATTCCGCTTTGAGATCCAGATCCCCGAATATCCCGATCCGGATTCGCAGATATATATGCCCTTGATCCAGACCACAGGTGAGCTCATCCGGTTCCAGCCCGATCCGAAGATTCTGCTATATCATACACGCTTAATTTTAATTTATAGTCACGACTGAATACGATAATTATAGAGTACAGTACAGTACAGTATGGTATTGTAGTGACCCATAAGTAGCCTCAAAATGTGCTAATAACTTGTGCACTGAAATAGTTGATTTATTCTCCATTGTATTCGCTCATGAGTTTCCCACACACCGACGTATATAGTAGTTTACATAAATAAACTTAGAGACCTAGAACTTGCAATACACACACTTACAGTATAGCCGCATTTATTTTTATAATAATAATATTCTATTCCGAAACCCCCAAACCCCTTCCCGTCCCGTCCATACTTTCGCTTTCATCTAGAAATCGTCATCAGTTTAATTTAGTTATTTGTTTACTTTTGAAGGGAGCGCTATCGGCTATAGGTTCACTTTTTTATAAAAAAAAACTCTTTCGCCAGTAATCTGTCATAATACCCTGCGTGCTCGAAAGTAAGGCACTCTTTATCTTTCCCCTTATCGCGCACTCCATATTTTTTATCCTCAGAGTGACGAGGTAGCTTAAAAGCGATCAGGACACACAATTTCAATACATCATCGTCAATTGTTGTCGACCCATCAAATTGAATGTGCTAATTTGAACTGATCGTGTATTGATTTCTATATTTTTCCACAACGATCTTGTCAAGCGATGGAGTCCAAATCTAAATCTGCAAAGGTACTTGAGATCTTCTTTAACCAACCGCCTCACAATTATATGCTAATTTGCGAGATCAACCAGACATTTGGCAATCATTGATCGCACCTGATTTCATCGAGTGAAGTGTCTCAGTTTGTTTTCGTATCGTTCCGACACCTGACGCGAAGCTGCAAAAATATAGTGAAAAATCGGGAATATGGTTGAAAGTGTTCCGGTGTATTCCATTTCGCATTTCATGGAATCGCGTCTAGCAATCTCAGCAAATGGCGACAGACGCATCTCGAATTCCCAAGTGAGTGTGTCTCCAAATAAACAATGATATAGTGAAGACCGAGTCCAAAGTGAATAACAAGAAGAAACTCTATTCTCCGTATACCCAAAGAAATGACTCCCTTACTCATAGTATAGTACTTATAGTACTCCAATACTCATAGTGTTATTACTCATTAAAACACAAATCATTATTGTGTTTAAATTACACTTGTAATTGGCAAAACATTAAAAAAAAAGTTGAACAAATTTTTATTACACTGTTTTATGCCTTTGTAAAAGTGTTTAAAGTGCCCAATCAATTGTTTGATTAGATTACTGCTCTAATCCGTATTGATAGTCTAATAACCAATCAAAATATTTTGTTCCTTCTTCGAGCTAAAAAGTAATTTTGGAAATAAATTCAGTTTTCTCTACCTTTGATATTGATAGTAATATCTTATTTAACAAAGCTTAAGCCCTTTTAATTTAATCTATGTTCTGATCTCGTAAGGCTTAATTCATGAGAATGTTGAAGAATTGATTTTATACAACAAAATTAATTGATTAGAATAAATTGCCCATTTTTTGTCCACTTCTGGTTATCCCTCAATGCCTTTTAATACAATGTAAAACCTTAATTTTGGTTCCAATTTGACTGAACTGATTAGAATTCTAAAACCTGAAACATTTGAAGACCTAATCGCCAAATTTAGGTTTAAAAGCTTTTACCAAGTTTTTATCAATTATGAATTTAAATTGAAATATTACCCTTTTTTAAAAATTTGATTTTGTTGCTAAATTAAAAAAATAGATACACACAAAAAAATTTGCTTGGTAAAATTGACCAACAAAGATAGTTACGTAACTATTAAAATAGTTACGTGTATTTTGTTTTTGCTTTGGGTTTGTGTCTTTGCTAATTGTGTGTATTTTGTTGTTGTGAAATGACTATTTACTTAGTAGAATTGACAATTTTGCTGGTTGGGGCCTGTTTGACAATTATTACAGTTGATTTTACTAAGTTTTTTTTTTGTGTGTAGACTTGCTTATGAAGTATTTTCCGGCCATTCTGTAAATATTTTTGGGAGTAATATACCTTTTCTGTGAGCTCGCAAGACCTTCCCTGACTAATCATTACCAAGTAATTTGAAGGAAAGCCTCGGAATTTTGATTATTTAAGCAAGGGTATTGAACGCTTCGGTGGCTCTTTGTCCAGTTTTGCTTTTGTTTTCATTGCGACATCGCCCACATTCGCGCATCACGTGTGTGTCTGGGCACACACGCCTAGTTTGATAAACACCGTTATTTTTGGGGTTTCAGTTTCTCATTTTATCAAAAAGCTGAAATACAAAAAAAAGTAGAACAAAGGAGAACCAGGAGAGCGATTGACGAGCATTCGTTTCTCTTTCTGCGCCAGCGGTTTCGCTTCCAGTTCCATTTAGTTTTCCAGCAGAGCGCGCCGCGTGCGCTCCTCTAATCGGTGTGTTTTCTATAATATTTCAAATAGATTGTAATCTCGGTTTTTGCCAATTTGCCTATAGTCAGCATATAATATATCTGCCAATCGGTGCGGTGTTTTTCGCTCGGAGATGCCCAGTTTTGTGTGAGCCCCAAAGGGGGAAGCAAATATTTGTGCTGTAAAACTGATATAAAAGATAAAGGTGTTCTGGAGTTACCTCATTGTTAACCGTTTGTAATCGTTATAAAAATGCGTCGCACACCCAAACTTCACCTTGTGGGCCGCGCCTACTCGGAGATGTCGCCCCTGAATCCGGATCCTCTGCAGGAATCCCCGACCACAAGCAATGCTGGACAGGATCGGCGGGTCGATCAGGGCGGCTACGGCAGCATCTTCCCCTTCGGACTCCTTCGCGGCTCCTTTGGCCGAGGTGGTAATCCCAGCCAGGTGGGTTCAGGTTCAGGTTCCGGTTCAGCCGAGCTTAGAGGGCACGCATATGTTACGTATAACGGCGATTGCTTATCGGATACTCCTCTATACGTTTGCAGAAGCAGATTGTTTAACCGATAACGCAAACGGCTTTCCATCTGTTTGTTTTATCGTCTCCATTAGTCGCGGCGCCCCGAATCGCCCACACCCTTCCATATAAAGATATATTACCCGCAGGTGTATGTAGAAATCAAAACTACTTTCGACTGTCGAAGCTCCATAAAATCTACATACAATCTACATGGCTCAATCTCGAAAGTATGCTTGCCTTTGTTTAAACGACGAGCTGCTTTGAAAGTCTATTACGAAATACAAAAAAGGAGTTCAAAGTACTTGACTAATTTCTCATAACAGTTCAAAATTTGTATATCCTTTGATCTATACAATAATTTTTAGGGTCATCTTGAAGTATTAAAAATCCTCGATCCCTTTTAGAATTTTTAAAGTACCCCTCATTCCCTACAAGTTACCAAATATCTTTGATGATTACCGAATCTGCTCATCCCTTTCCGGTGTGAATCTCACTTCTATTTGACTTTGTGGGAAATAAAAAGGCAATTAACACGATAATCATTGTGTGTTGTCTTTTGTTTATAAGGAAGCGGTTATATACAGGCTAGTATCCATTGCTTATCCGAGTTATCTGGCTATCAGGGCTGTTTGCCCAATTAATGAAAACTAAATAGAGAGCGGATCGTTTGGTGCCCGTCGCCAGGGCATTTATATGATGCTTCCATGCAAAGTGCGGACAGTTAACTGGCGGCACTCGATGCCCGACGTTCGTTCGGCGGTTCCAAATAAAAGGCGTATATAGTATATCTCTTCCATCGATTGCAAGGCGGCCTTCAAGACGGAACTGAGCGGCGAGAGTTTGGCGAAGATGTTCAAGTCCCGCCTAAAATCGAACCCGGGTGGGAGTGAGGTGTGTGTTCCCCCCGAAACCGCGATAAGTGTTGTGCAGTTAGGAACTTTATAGTCGAGATGCGCTCCTTTCCTATCAGCTATCAGCAAAACTGGTCACAGATATCACAAGTGATAGATAGAAAGACCCGCTGTTATCCAACTGTTGTCAGTTGCCGAGTATTAGGTAATATCAGCCTGTCCACCCTTCTCTTCAAGGCAATCCCGATTCAAAGCCGCCTTGATGGACAGGCCTTCCATTCAGGTCCACCCCAATCCCTCAATCCCCCATGAAATTGCATCAATCAGTCAATTGTGATTCATTTAGGGAATCGCTTTCATTGCTCTTCCATTCAGTCAGCTTTAATTAGAGCAAGACATGTCAGTCATTAACAATCCATAAAGCTAAACTGCCGTAGAGCGCAGAGCTTTCTTAGCGATTTAAGTCACGTAAATAATGATATACTAACTAAGCCACGTCCTAGATAAACGAGAGCACTAAGGCATCTCGCGATTGTCACCTGAAACACATAGATACCATAAAAGCCCCAGATCAGCAGTCATGCCGAAAGATGGTCACTCACGTAAGCCAGCAAAGAAGGAGGCACCCAACTCCGAGTCCACAACACCCACCACTCCAGCCACATCAGCATCGCCCAGTGCATCGCCCAGTAGAACCGCTGGCCACTCGACGATCGGAGCTCTGGTGAGCAATCTGCACCACCATGACGTCCAATCGCTGCACCAACCACTGCTGGAGAGCGAGGAGCGAGTGATTGCGCCCACGGGTAACCACAGGAATCCCCGCCAGCTGGCACGGGGCTATGGAACCGAAAGGAAGCCCACCAGTTCCCTGCCCCGTTTCGTGATCGACATCGAGGAGGAGACGGATGCGGCGGTGGCTGCGGCGGAGGAGGGCAAGGGCAGTCCCAGTCCCAGCCAGGAGCACAGCCAGGAGCACGACCAGGAGCACTCCAACCAAAGTCCCTCCCGCCGTTTCAGTCACTTCAATCTGGCCCTGCGTCGCTTCTCCCACATCCATGCCCACGTAAATGCCGATTATCCTGGCTAAGTTGGTGTTGTAACCCTGTTGCTCTGCCGCTTGTTGGATCCTAACCCCTGAGATTGGCCTAACCCATTTGTACATAGATACCAATACCACTACACAGCATACAATCGCATCGCACACAACTGGGAGTTTGTAACGAAAAAAAACCTGTATGGGTCGCGTGCACTGGATCTAAAAATAAACCTTCTAGTTGCAGTCGCTTCTTCTTTTCCCGACTTTGGTTAACTGCTTCGCTCTGTGCCACTAATGCGCCAAGAATGGTCTTTCTTTCTTTTACTCTTCCACTCTGCTCGCACTTTTGAGACTGGTGCTTTTGTAAACAGTGGCGGGCACCCAAATATATACCAGTTTTAGCACATCACATAGAAATTAAGTCGATGAATCTAAACCACTCTAAAAACACTCTGTTGCGTTAACAAAGTACTCACAAGGCACTTTTTCTAGCTACAAAATAATGTAAGAATATATTTATAAAAAACAATACAGGTTTTGTATTACAAATCACTAGAGAGGTACCCTTAGTTAAACCTTTAGAAATTAAAATGAATTTTTTAAATTATATTTAAATTTGCAAATTGTTTCAAAAAAGTATCGAAAAGGATACGCATTGTAATAGATCTTTGTACGAAAAGGTATATGGTTCAAGATAGTAAAATTAAAACTTTTTAATTTTTTTTATCAGAAGTCTTATGTTTTAAATACCTAACTTAATCATCTTGATTTCATATAGGGTTCGAAAAGTGCAATATCATTTCTTTGTACAACAGTTATTAAAACGAGAAATTACCAATATTTCACCAATCAATTTAAATAACTTTTACATATACAGGGATTTTCCCTACAAACCTAAACTATTAATTTTCCGGATGCTGTAAGGGCACTTGGCCTGATGTTCTTCTGGACTGTGATTCCGTTGACGCAGCGAATCTTAACCCATTACTACAAGCTCCGGACGATGAGAATCCATTAAGCGAACTCGAGTGACGTGCGACTCAATTGCAGGCACTCGAGAGTTGAGTTGGAAAACAAACATACAAATTGGCAATCGTTCATTAAACGTCTTCATCTTATCGATCGCCTTCTGTCACTGTCGCAAGTACTTCTGGTACTCGCACTTCGGTATAACCTAATCTGCCGAAGTGTGGCTTAATTATCACAAGTAACAGATACTGTACACGCCCAGTAATTTAACTCTAGAATTAATTAATCGACTAAGGCCAAAGGATACGCTGTGCAATAAACTAATGGAACCAATAAACCCAACAGCGGCCTTCTTCTAAGCATAAATTCAAGTGAAACTCTTTACGCAAGGCAGTGTAAAAATAACCAGACTCGATGTAGTGACCACAAAACCTGGTCAATCAGTCTTTGTGCAACGCTCGTGGCAGCAGGAGCGGCTAAAACAGCCATAGCTCCCAAATCGGCAAACACGTTTCGAGTGGCCAATTACTATATTTGCGGCACGAAACCACCAAAATCATACATTACCCGCCCGTATCTCCACCACCACCACCCACCGACTCAGCACATCGAGTGTAATCGGGCTGAAAAAGCGATGCTCGCTTCGGGTTGCGTGTAAACTTAATTTCTCACTGTCCGCTAACAAAACGCTTGATAAGATGGCTCAGACGTCAACGGGCCACTAAGGCAGCAGGTTGCATCGCGACGGCAAAAAGAGAAACAAGAAAAGCGCGCAGTGTATTCGTTGCCACAAAGCCCAGAAGTCAAATACCCACAGGAATTAATTTGTCAATTAATTTGCAGTGCGCAAAAAAGCAAACAGCGGAATAGTAAAAACAAAAAAAAAAACTATACGAGAAAATGCAGAAATATTATGCACATACTGGCACTTAATTAAAGTGTGACTAGCGGAGAACCAGTGATCTTTGGCAGACCAAGGCGGAGAATGCCGAGTTCCGCCAGCTTGACGCACGTACAAAAGCCCATAAATAAAGCCAAATAAATTACAAATTTATCAAAATCAAAACTGGAGACTGTTGAACGAGTATCAGCTGACAAAATGAAACTATCAAAGAGCTTTGACGAATTGATACTGAACGCCTCGCGTTTGAGCTTGAATAACTTGCGATCTCCGGCGAAGAAAAAGGGGAAAAATGTAAAGTATTCAAGAGTAACTAGCAAACGATGATTACATTAGTGATACCTATAAGTTTTACGACTAAGAAGTGTCTTAAAATATAAATATACAAATATACCCATATCTCAGCACATAACTCTTCCAAAGTAGAAAGGAAATACCGATGGTTAAGAGATAAAATTATAAATAAACATATTCCAGACTAATAAAACTTACTCACGCCGTCTACTTGCAGTCGTAAATCGGAGCTATCTGACTAATCTCATTTCTATCTATTCTTTTCGGCCAGACAACTCCCTACTGATACGCAATTATTCGATTCGTTCTAGGGTGCTTAAAAAAACAGCAATTAGATCTTATGTTAGATCTACTCAGCGGTAACTGTGTTTACCATTCCGTATTTAGTATTTACTGTACCGTTTTGCTTCCCTTCGTTATGCCCGAGTGCATTTTAACACCTTCGAATGAAACCCAAACCCAAACCCACGGCGAAGGCGAAATAATCAAAATCTGTATACAGCAAGACCGACTTGCCGCCTAGCCAATAAACCAAAATGTTTATGTTCGATTGATCCAATAAAGACTGAAGGTTCCACACAAATTAATTAGAATAAGCAAATAAATTAAAGCCAAGCCACTGCAATGCGTGAGAGATGGTGGTTGGCAATTGTTCAAATAACAAATACGGCAATCTGTGACGTTATCGTTAAGCTGTGCGATTACCCGACTAGATGAATATCTATTTGACCAGGGACTACGAGATCAGACGTTTAGATATCATGGATTTTCGCGTGTCTTGCCGCTGAGATACGAGTCCCAGGAAATACCCTTTGATATTTTTAGAAAATTCCCATATAACCTTCCTTGGTATACTGATTTCTTGGAGAACCGTATTTCACAATTACCCATCGATGATTTTTGGTGGTGGCTTTTATAACCCACGTTATTTATTTATTGGCAATAAAGTTCGATGACTGAATCATGGACCTGTGGATAACTAACCATTATTTAGCACTAAGATAAACAATTTCTGTATGTGTAAGAATAATTACTTCCCAATGTTGTGGTTCCTTTGACTTTAAGTTAAGCATGCGAAATGTTAAACTCTGACCTCTGGAGGCAACGGAAGTCTCTACCCCTTGTATTTCCCCCACAAAATGTTACAACATTTTTAAATATGACTTATGGTTTCTGTCTTTTAATTGCTTCCTAACACGAATAACTGGTACAAGTTTTTGCTAAAAGCCCAACAGTTTTTATTTGCATGCTGTTCGGTTCGATTATTAATTGAGAACAAATTGTGCAAATGTTTGGAAACCCACTAATTATTAAATTCTTTACTCAGAACATAAATCGCTACGGAGACTCCATGGGTTCGCTGGGACATCGCGCCTTGTTGCAGTACATCGATAATAATGATATTTCCGGTCTGCGCGCTATTTTGGACAGCCGACATCTCACCATCGATGATCGGGATGAGGTGAGTCTTTATAAGCGAGATCGGTAAGAGAACTCTAGGCTACAAAGTTTCTTTTTGCTTTAACTTGTATTATAATAATGGAATATCACATTAAAGTAATGGAATATTAAATTATAACAATGGAATATTATATTACAATAATGAAACTTTCCGAATATCTTATATTATAATAATGGAATATTATATTATAATAATGAAACTATCAAAATATCTTCCAGAATGCCACCACAGTGTTGATGGTAGTTGCCGGACGTGGTCTTACTGCCTTTGTCCGGGAATTCCTGGCCCGTGGAGCCGATGTTCAGGCGGAGGACCTGGATAACTGGACGGCACTGCTTTGTGCCTCCCGGAATGGACACTTTGATGTGGTCCAACTGCTGCTAGACCATGGAGCCGAGGTGGAGCATCGCGATATGGTGGGTCTGATCCTTGATATTCGTTTCTGAATCTAGCTAACCATTAAATATTTTCCCAGGGTGGCTGGACCAGTTTGATGTGGGCAGCCTACCGAGGACACACGGAACTGGTGAGACTCCTTCTGGACAAAGGAGCCGATGGCAATGCCCATGGTAACTACCACCTGGGCGCCCTGTTGTGGGCGGCGGGGCGTGGCTACAAGGACATCGTGGAGCTGCTCGTGCAACGCGGCGCTAAAGTGAATGTGGGTGATAAGTACGGAACCACGGCCCTGGTTTGGGCCTGCCGACGAGGAAATGTGGAGATTGTGGATACTCTGGTCAAGGCTGGAGCCAATGTGGACACTGCGGGCATGTATTCGTGGACACCGCTCCTGGTGGCAGCCGCCGGTGGCCACACGGATTGCGTTAGCTCCATTCTCGAGAAGAAACCCAATGTAAATGCCTTGGACAAGGACGGAATGACCGCCCTGTGCATAGCCAGTCGCGAGGGTTTCCAGGATATAGCCGCCTCCCTTATAGCGGCCGGTGCCTACATAAATATCCAGGACCGTGGAGCAGATACACCCCTCATCCATGCCGTGAAGGCGGGACATCGCACAGTGGTGGAGGCTCTGCTCAAGAAGCATGCCGATGTGGATATTCAGGGAAAGGATCGCAAGACGGCCATTTACACCGCCGTGGAGAAGGGACACACGCCGATTGTTAAACTACTGCTGGCCACCAATCCCGACCTGGAATCCGCCACCAAGGATGGTGATACTCCGCTGCTGAGAGCTGTGCGCAATCGTAACCTGGAGATTGTGCACCTGCTGCTCGACCGAAAGGCCAAGGTGACGGCCAGCGACAAGAGAGGCGACACTTGCCTGCACATTGCGATGCGGGCGAGGAGCAAGGCGATTGTGGAGGCTCTCCTGCGGAATCCCAAGCACAGCCAGCTACTGTACCGGGCCAACAAGGCGGGGGAGACGCCCTACAATTTGGACTCCCTGCACCAGAAGACCATATTGGGTCAAGTTTTCGGCGCCAGGCGGCTGAATACCAACGAGGATTCCGAGGGAATGCTGGGCTACGAACTCTATTCCTCCGCCTTGGCGGATGTGCTCAGTGAGCCAACTTTAACCACTCCTATAACCGTTGGACTCTATGCCAAGTGGGGCAGTGGAAAGAGTTTCCTCCTGAATAAGCTGCGCGACGAGATGAACAACTTTGCCCGCCAGTGGGCGGAACCCCCGATCCGAACCAGCGGCCTGCTCTTCATCGTCTGCCTGCACTTGGCCCTGCTGATTGGAACGATTGTGGGTCTGAGCACCAAGTCAGCGGTGGTTGGCGTCTCCGCCGGCGTGGGATTCATGCTGCTCACCTATCTGCTCCTGGCGGCCGTGAGATACTGCAACTATCAGATGGACATGCAGTGGGCCTACTCGGTTCAACATGGTCTGGAGAAGAGGATCACGCGGTTGCGTTTGATTCTTCAGGTGGCCTTTTGCCATCCGCCAGGACCCCAGTCGGATTCACAGGCCAAACCGGTGCGGTTTCACTTTGCCGAGGCCAATAGCGCCTCGCCCACCGGCGACGGGGCAGTGGCCCACATGCTGGCCGCCCTCCTGGACGCCATCGAATCTCACTACGGCTGGCTGGCCACGCGACTGTATCGAGCCTTTCGTCCCAAGTGCTTGAAGGTGGACGTCGGCTGGCGTTGGCGTCGCATGTGCTGCATCCCCATCGTGCTGATCTTTGAACTGGCTCTGGTTACTTTAATCACTGGCATCTCGCTGATAGTGGCCTACTTCACCTTTTCCGATGTGTCGGCGGAGGAGAGGGAACAGATACTCGTGGGACTCTATGTGATTGCCGCCGTAATGGGCACGCTCATCTGCACGCATCTCCATGTGCTGGCCAAGGTGTTTGTATCCCTGTTCACCTCGCACATTCGAGTGCTGAAGAGAGCGGTTCGATCTAGCGAGTCTGCTCCGTTGACCATGCTGGGAGCGGAGGTGGCCGTGATGACGGACATGGTCAAGTGTCTGGATGCATTCACCACCCAGCAGAGTCGCCTGGTGGGCGTGATTGATGCTTTGGATTCTTGCGACACGGAGAGGATTTTAACCCTCTTGAATGCCGTGCAAACGTTGCTTTCTTCACCCAACCGACCATTTGTGCTGCTCATTTCAGTGGATCCGCATGTGATTGCCAAGGCGGCGGAGGCGAATAGTCGACGGCTGTTCACGGAGGGCGGAATTGGAGGACATGACTTCCTCAGGAACTTGGTTCATCTCCCAGTTTACCTACAAAACTCCGGACTGCGGAAGGTGCAGCGAGCGCAGATGACGGCGCTGCTGTTCAAGCGAAGTGGCGGAGGAGATTACCAGACTGACGATGGTCCGACATTGGGTCACTCTGTGTCCGCTCGCCGGCTGTCCAACGCCTCGGAGATCATCTCGAGCCAGGAGAAGCTACGCGCACCCGCCCGCGGAGGCGGCGGCAAGAAGCTGCGTCTCTCCGAATCCGTGGCCAGCTCAACGGGCTCCAACCTGCACCGCCTGGGCCAGAATCCGCAGACGGTGCTCGACTTATCCAGGATTGTGCTCACAGATGACTACTTCAGCGATGTGAATCCGCGAAGCATGCGCCGCCTGATGAATGTGATCTACATCACGGTGCGCCTGCTCAAGGCCTTCCAGATTGATTTCAGCTGGTATCGCCTGAGTTCCTGGATAAATCTCACGGAGCAGTGGCCCCTGAGGGCGAGCATGATAGTGCTGCATCACGATCAGTTCATGGATGGCAATGCGGATGAGAGTGTGTCGCTGCAAAGCGTTTATGAGAAGTAAAGGTTTTATTTTTATGATAATAACTGAATCTAATATGTCTTCTTAATCCCTATAGACTTCGTCCAAAACTCGCTTACTTAAGAGAGGCTGCTCCTCTGCTGGAGTTGGATCGCGATGAACGAAAGTTGGACGCCTTCCTGCAGCTGCACAAATCAGATCTACTTGTGGCGGATCTGCGCATCTTTCTGCCCTTCACCATTAACCTGGATCCTTACTTAAGGAAGGTCTTAAAGGGTGAGTAGTTAAACTAGAGTTCGAAGAAAGGAACTAAATAAAAATACTTTCACAGAGGACCAGCAAACCATCGAGGACGAGGGCTCCCTAGTGATACAGACGAGGCCCAGCGTCTCCAATACCATGCGTCAATTCCCAGCGCCCACCACCTACGTGCCTTCGCCGCAGGCCTATCCACCCTACCAAATGTTCCAGAACGAGTATCCTGCCAACGAGCTGCGCTCCAGGAATCTCAGCACGAGCACGGAGCCCGTAACTCCACTGATTAACTCACCAAGTGATTCGTTTGGTGTAAGTTATATATTCTTTAATATAAAGGAGAACATGATTATAAATTTTATATTCGATTTATTACAGGACGACATCTTGCAAACCAAGCTGACTGACTTGACCGTGGAGGGAGTCATCAGCCTGCTGGAGCGAATTGAGGATTTGAAGCCTGCGTTGGCCAAACTGGCGCCTGTGCTGCGCGAGAATGCGGTCAATGGACGTGTGCTGAAGCACTGTGATATGCCGGATCTGAAATCGGTATAAGTTATAACTGAAACCCTTTAGTTTACCTATTAAATGGCATCTTACTGACAGGTTCTGGGCCTGAGCTTCGGCCACTGGGAGCTGTTCCGCCTGCTGATCACCACTTTGCGGGAATGCGAGCGTCTGCCCAGGAAGCAGCCACGTCAGCAGCAGCAGCCGGCCGCCCTGGAGGCTCCGTCGAATGTCCCGATGATCAAGGACGTGACGGATGCCCTGATGCAGCCGCCCAGAGAGTCCTTGTCGCGAAAGAACTCCGTTAGCCATATGGAGAAGCAGGTAAGATGAGCCCTCTGGAGGTTGGGATTGCTTTTAGGATCGGGCAGCAGCTCTAACTCATGTGCTTTGATCTATTCTTATTCCGACCATTTTAACAAACCGAAACGAAATGCAGTCAAAAGTGCATGACTACGAGTATTTGCAGGTAAAGCTGAGACACTTAACGACACAGACTGAAACCCAAAATTCCAAGCCCACATTTGTGCAAAAACCCCCATAACAAATCGAATAAGAATGTAGATCCCTAAACTAATATAGGTTGTTTATTGATTAGGTTACGCTGGAGGAGCAGATGATCTGCGGCACCCTGCAGACTCTCAACGAGGAGGCCTACGAGGATGTGGCCAGCAGCGAGCGACCGAGTCCCACAGGTGAGATGTTGGCGGCAGCCGCACAACTGCAATTAGCACCCATCCGCGAGTCCTCCGAGTTCGGATCGCCATCCGAAGATCAGCAGCACTACGGGGTCAAGATAAGCAACAATAACAACAACAACAATCAGTACTTGCATGCGGAATACAACCGGAGCATTAGCTCGCATTCCCTGCAGAGCCTAAGCACTCTGGTGGGTGCTCCAGGTGGTGGTGGCCTGCACCTGGGCAATGGTAACGATCTTAGCGGTAGCACGCTCGACCTAATGCATGTAGAGTCGGTCTTTGGTGGTGGTGGTTATCATCGGGCTTCGCGCCAAATCTCGATTAGCAGCGAGCTGCTGCACGAGTCCAGTTCCCTGCCCATGGTGGTGGTCATTCCCAATGCCTCCGGCGAACAGGCCTACGACGACACCAAGCTGTGAGAGGTCCTCAAGCGGCGGATGCACCCCTCGCAACCCTTACAACTAATCCAAGCTGCATGGGGTTGAGTCGTTCTTAACTTTTAAAGTCTGACAAACTGAACCATTTCGAACGCTGGACCAATGTATCAAACCAAAACCAAAACCAATAGCATATCATCCGAAACATGATTTTATTATTTGATTTACTCTTGCTTTGGCTTGGCCTTGATCCGGCCAGTATTATCTACAATTACTAATATTTGAGTTGTGCGATTACTAAATCATTCCAATTGTTATATGCCGAAGATTAGTTATTAATTATTTGCCACAAAAACAAACAAACACACCCACCCACACACAAAGTACATTTAAAATTGTTAATCGCCCACGAAACATGAACAACTAACCTAACCGAATGGTATTCTAATCATACCCCCAACTAAATCCTATGTCTATCAAATAAATGATAAATCTTATGAACAACTCGTTGCCTCTTGCATTTTATTCAGCTTTCTATCTGTGTTTTGTGTTCCGCCTTTAACCTCTGTTCTGACCTGAGTTAATTGGTTGCTTTTATTCACCGGGATATCACCTAGCACGGCTGGAAATCCCCCGCCCGAATCCCTGACTAAATCTCCCTCATCCGTATGATTTTTTAGAACTCGACACGCCGAGCGCCGGAGCCGCAATGACGATGCCATTGCTGGGCTCCTCGGGCTCCTCCATCCAACCACCGACAGGTCGGGATTCCATTTTGAAGCAGCAGGGAAGCGTCAAGGCCGACAAGCGGGTATCGATCCAACAGGCGGCGACCAATAATAACAACAATCCTAGTACCAAGCTAAATGTCGAATATGTTTCCGAGCGTCAGGAAGCCAGCAAGCGCCTGACAACCAAGCCGCCACCAGGTGAGGTTTCCTAAATCGCAATCCAAAAACTATTACTTATAAAGTTTCAATTACAGGACCCCGTCCCGCCTCGCTGATCATCACCAGAAACGATTCCAACTCACAGTTCCAGCTGCTGCGCTCGTCCTCGGTGGACTACGATGATGTGGAGGCTCAGGAGCACCGAACCACGATAAGAACCACCCTGTTGGAGCAACAGGAGGAGGAGGAATCAGCACCGTTCGTGTTTACCGTGCGCAAATGATACAATCTTCTCTACTAGGTGAAACCAGCCAAACGAGAATGGCCATTTAGTGCCAGCTACGCTTAGTTACAAATTAGTTATAATGCTATAATTAACTAGCCAATAACCAGAGGACTTTGTGGGAACTCTGACTTTTGGGTTACACAATGATATAGCGCTAGGAAAAGACACTTTGTTAGCAAGTCTTGGTTGTAAACCACCTTAGAGTTTACTACCTGTTGCAAATGTACGATGCATGTGCATATGTGTATTTATTAATTGTATAGAGAAAGTGAGAATACATTGAGCGAGATGACTTACAAATCTAAACGTGATTAATATATGTAAAGCCGTTTAAACGAGAGATTTATAGGCACTTGTGGGGATTAAAGCAATTACAATTTGTGATTCCTTTATGGAATTAAAGGAAGGCATCATTTGGCATACTTATTTGGTTTACAGAAATTCTGGAAATTGTTATTAATGATGGGCAGCCGCTCGAGAGATGGCCAGAACCGGTTTCAAAGCCTTGTACAGTTCGCCAGCCACGGCGGGGCTGGGCAGCTTCTTGTAGATCTCCTGCAGGGCCAACATCACATTGGACTGGTGCTGGGTCAGATTCATTGGATCGAATGAGGGGTGCTCCCAAAAGGCCCCCTTCTGGTTGCTTTCCAGGCGAACCTGGGTGCCCTCATCCCGGGTGGCGGTCCTGCGTTCCGTTTGGGTTGCAGCATTCTTGTAGAGCGTCGCCGTGCCATCTTCCTCCGTTGGTGCCAATCCCTGTTCCAGCTTCTCTTTCTTCAGCTTCAGAATGCGCTGCGATGGTTTTGCTGTACTCTGGATCTGCTTGAGGCGCGCCACATCGATGCCCAGCAGGCGGAGCAGCTTCCCAGTGGCCTGGGGCACTCCTTGCAAGCCCCATTTTGCCAAATCGATTCGGGTTCCGGGCGTGGAATTGAACTCGTAGACCACATTCATGTTGTTGCAAATGGGCGAGGGATTCTCGAAGCAATCCTGGTTCCTAAAGGATTCGTTAACGGGCAGTTTGCAGATAGTGTCCACCATGTGGAACTCCTCCGCCACCTCCTTGTTGGCCCTCTTCTCGAACAGTTCCAGCACCAATTCGGCCCGTGCTATGGCCAGATTGCGCTTGTCCGCCTTGGACAGATTGTCAGTGTTCAGTTCGTTCTTCGGCGGCGGACGCTCGGCGAGATTGGAGAAGCTAACCGGTCGGATGTACTTCTCGTCGGGACGAACTGGAATGTAGTCCAACTCCTCATCCGGCTTTTCGGCCTTGATGCGATGCTTGCGTCCACGACGATCGCGATCATCGCGATCATCACGGTGTCTTCTCTTCTTCTCACTATCCTCCTCCGAACTCCCGCTACGCTTTCGCTTCTTGGACTCCTCCTGATCCCTGCTCGAGCGATGGGAGCGATCCTTCTTGTGCTTCTTTTTCTTCTTCTTCTCCCGGCTGTCCTCTTCCCGGGCTTCCTTGCTCTCCTGCTCGCTCAGCTCTTTGAGGATCTGGCGTTGCTTTTCATAAAGTTCTTTCTCGGTCACCAAAGCGTCTTCTTGGATCGCATCGAATGACGCTACACCTTGGGTTTCCTCTGGCAGAAGCTCCTTGGAAGCCTCGAGGCTGCACAAATCCATGTCGTCCAGGTTTTCCCGGCTCGAAAAATGACTGGGAAGTCCATCGACCTCTTGTTTCACTTCTGGCTTAACGTCGCCCGGGAAATTCGAGGTCGCCGGAGGTTCCGCATCGAAAGGTTCATTCAGCAAGGCGTCTAGCATTTCGTTTTCACGATCAATTTTGAGCATCGGCTCAACCTTGGGTTCAATGGGTTCCAGAGTGGATTCAACATTGGGTTCAATGGATTCTAGAGGCACTACAGTGGGTTCAGTGAATTCCAGAGGCTCAACATTGGATTCAATGAATTCTTGAGGCTCAGCCTTCGGTTCGATGGGTCCTAGTGGCTCATCTAGATGTGCGCCCGGAGTCGGAGGCGCCGAGAGGTGGGCATGGGCGCTATCCTCCGGGTCACTGTCCCATCCTGATCCGGACATCGGAATTTCGGCCGCAAATGCATGTGGCGGAGTGTCGCCTGTACTTTCCCGGAGCGGCGTGGCCTCATCCTCGTTAATGCCACCTTCCTGCTCGATTTCGATTTTCACTTCTTGCTTGATCGGCGGATCCATGTCAATTACTTCTAAAATGCTTCGATCGAAATCGTTTCCATAAATGAAACTGGAAACCTTTGAATTTTTCCCACCCGGTTTGCTGAGATTGCACTGCTAGAGATGGCACATTGACATGTAAGAATATTTATTTATTAAACTGAATAGCAATAAAAAAAAATTTTCAAATTTTAATTTCCAAAAAAAGGTGACAGGTAAACGCAGATGTTTTTAAATTCTACAAAAATAATTGTGGGTCGTTTTTTTAATGCCGAAATTTTCTTTTGAATTTTTAACGATTTGCGGAAATACCCGATGTATATTTGTCCATCTCTAGCATGGTGAGTGCAAATACAGGTGTCGCCAGAGAGACCTGTTGATTTATCGATTACTCCACCTTGAGAAACTTACCACATCTGAATGTATCTATCGACTCGCCAATTTAACCAAATGTTTCTTAATTAAATGGTTTATCACAAGATGTTTCAATTAAAAGAGTCATGTGAGCGTAAATAGTTGTCAATAAATAAATACTACAAAGTATAGTTGCATTAGAAAGCCGCGTAAATAGTAGCAAACAAACAGATTGAGTGTAAATAAAAACAGCCAGCTGTTTTTTGTTTACAAGCTTCGCTGCCTGTTTGTTGTTGGGGGCTGTTTTCAGCGCGTAACCAGCTGATGACCACAAAAACTTCAAAGGTCACCTTGAGCTTAATAGAATCGAGGCAATTGCTTAAGAATTTCGGCTGGTTAACGTTAAGTTCAATTTCGCAGCTTCACTACAGCCCAAAAAGTACGAAAAATCATTATAAAAATCAGTGATAAAAGTAAAGTAAACAAATAATTTGCATACCCATGAAAGTAAACCATTTTCCCGAGCGTGAATGAAAGTGGGCAGATAAGTTTTGAGCAGATACGAAAAGAAAAACGCACAGATTGCTCTCACATGGAGCACATTTGTTGTGGTCCAAATTCGGGACTCCTAAAAAACTGGTCTATAAATAAATATTCAAAGGCCATCTACCGGCAACCAAGTGCAATTCATTGACCTACATATGTGAGGATATGCTTGTGTGTGTGCTCGCCTGTGAACTTGGTGTGTGCAAATGATTATTTTTATTCCCTGACCTGCTAGTGAAATTTCAATGTTGATAAGGTCTGCTAATCGTGAAAATCCATATACTCACGTAGGCGCCACATGTCAATAAGAATGCATTGGAAGAGTCAGGAGCCTATATTATTACCCCATAATATGAATAATAAAACCCCCCTTAGCCGACGCCCCTGTGTGCGAATGTGTTTTTGTGTGTGAGCGATTATCGCGATTGAAAGGTACATATTCGTTTAATGCTTCATTTGAGATTGCGGGCTACGTTAAATTCCTGGCATTCCGTAGACCATCGATCGAGTTTGCAGCAGCTGCAGCCATGCTGAACGAGGGATTCCACTGGCTCTGGAGGAGCCTGCTCCAGGTCCTGATGCGCTATCAGCTCTTCCGCTGGCTCCTCGGCCTCATAGCGATTGTTGATAACGAACCGCTACCGTTACAAGTCGAAAGTGAAGAGGAAGCACCCGGAAAGAAGAAGCATCCGGAGATTGGGAATGAGAATGAGCAGGCCATATTATCCCCCGGAAAATCAGAATCAGTCGCGATTAGAACCGTTCCAAGTGCAAATGCAACGAATGCAATGGGCAATTCAGGCAGTGCCGAGATCGTATCAAATCAAATCATCCGCCGCCGTGAGGTATTATAATCGCCCAGTGATCGGAGTCCCAGTGTTGTGTCCATAACATTCCATAACTATATGTTCTCGAGTGCGAGTGTGTGAGTGTGCCGGCCATGAATATAAAACATGCCCTCCGTCCGGCGATGCTGCAGTCTGTTCCCGTTACCCGTACCGGTTAACCTAGCTAGTTACAGCCACTAAGAGCGCCGACTAAGCGGGCAATCCTCGAAAATTCTACTAGGACTGTGGTGGTGTTTTAACAAGATGCCTTTGGCTGTGCGTTTTCCGATCGGGAGTTACTTAAATATATTGTATACCTTCATAACTCGAACGAAAGAACCATATTACTTAACTTACTAGTGAATAACGTCTGGTGAAATTGATTTCGATTTGATAAATATAATATAAATATAACTAATTAGAAAACCTACATAAGATCGTCACAATTAATCCGTACTGAATACCTTTTTTTCCGTGCTAAGCCCTTCTAAATATAGAAATACCTATAAACGCAATTGTAATCCTAATCTCTATTGGCGCTACAAATAGTTCGACTTTCAGAGACATAAAGTTAGAGAAGTTCGACTGTACATTCCATGCATAATACCCATGTTCATGTGTAACAAATAGAAGTGACGATTGGTGATTGTGTAATGTAATCTCTCGGTTATCTCCCCGGATCTCCTTAGATGAGCACCATGGGCAAGGAGACGGAGTCGCACAGCATACCCATAAGCGAGGGTCAGAATGCGGAGCATGTGCTGTACCGACTGAAGCGGGGTTCCAAACTGAGTGTCCATCCGGATGCCTCCCTGCTCGGCAGGAAGATAGTCCTCTACACCAACTATCCCGCCGAGGGTCAGAAGTTCGTGAGAACCGAGTATAGAGTTCTGGGATGGCAGCTCAGCAATGGCAAGCAGGTTACTTCCGTTATGCATCCGGAGGCCCATGTGGTGGACACGGACATCCGAAGTCTGGTGGAGCTGAACATGTCCGGCACCTATCACTTCTACTTCCGGTACCTGGAAAGGTGAGTTAAGAAATCCGGAGATTCTCATTCCAAAAAAGTCTTACATACACAATTTACATGCTCCTGTAAAATCGATATGGCCATGTAAATTTCAGGTCATGCAAAACCCATATAGTTTTTAGATGAAATACTTTTTTCGACCAGGTCAAATTTACATGGCCGCATATCAAATTAAAATTTATCTTAAATAATGTAAAATCGATCTAAGTTGCATATCGACTTTTTTTGGGGGTAGTTATGATCTATAATAAAACTTTTTAGTTCATAATCTCTAGAATTTTATTAATAAACTTTCTATTTCAGACCAGACACTGGTAGCTCGGGAGCTGATGGAGCTCTGTATGTCCAAGTGGAGCCCACTCTGCATGTGGGTCCGCCGGGCGCCCAGAAAACGATTCCCCTGGACTCGGTGCGCTGCCAAACGGTGCTGACCAAGCTCCTGGGACCCCTGGACACCTGGGAGGCCAAGCTGCGCGTGGCCAAGGAGGCGGGCTACAATGTGATCCACTTCACGCCCATCCAGGAGTTGGGTGGCTCCCGCTCCTGCTATTCGCTGCGTGACCAACTCAAGGTCAACTCCCACTTTGCTACCCAGAAGGGCGGCAAGGTCAGCTTCGAGGAGGTGGAGAAGGTCATCAAGAAGTGCCGCCAGGAATGGGGGGTAAGAACTGCCTTTGTGATTTCCTACTGATTCTCTAAATCATTTCTCTCCGTCAGGTGGCGTCCATCTGCGACATCGTGCTCAATCACACTGCCAACGAGTCCGAGTGGCTGCTGCAGCATCCGGATGCCACCTATTCGTGTGCCACCTGTCCCTACCTTCGGCCCGCCTTCCTCCTGGACGCCGCCTTCGCCCAGTGCGGAGCGGACATAGCCGAGGGCAGTCTGGAGCACGTCGGCGTGCCCCAGGTCATCGAGCAGGAGTGCCATTTGGAAGCGTTAAAGTACCAGCTGCACACCTCCTACCTGTCCAAGGTCAATATACACGAGCTGTATCAGTGCGATGTGATGAAGTACGTGAATGAGTTCATGACCCAGGTGCGGACTCGCGAGCCGCCGAAGAACGTGGCCAACGAGTATCGCTTCCACGAGATCCAACTGATACAGGACCCGCAATATCGACGCTTGGCCACCACCATCAATTTCGAGCTGGCGCTGGAGATCTTTAATGCTTTCCATGGCGACTGCTTCGATGAGGAGTCGCGGTTCCGCAAGTGTGCCGAAACCCTGCGCCGTCATTTGGATTCCCTCAACGATCGCGTGCGCGCCGAGATCCAAGGATACATCAACTATGCCATTGACAATGTGTTGGCAGGAGTGCGCTACGAGAGAGTCCAGGGCGATGGACCCAAGGTGAAGGAGATCTCCGAGAAGCACTCGGTCTTCATGGTCTACTTCACGCACACGGGCACCCAGGGAAAGTCTCTCACCGAGATCGAGGCGGACATGTACGGCCCGGCCGGGGAGTTCTTCATGGCCCACAACGGCTGGGTGATGGGCTCGGATGATCCGCTGCGGGACTTTGCCGAGGAGCAGCCGGGACGCGCCAATGTCTACCTCAAGCGCGAGCTCATCTCCTGGGGCGACAGTGTAAAGTTGCGCTTCGGCCGGCGGCCGGAGGACAGCCCCTATCTGTGGAAGCACATGACCGAGTATGTGCAGACCACGGCGCGCATCTTCGACGGCGTGCGCCTGGACAACTGTCACTCCACGCCCTTGCACGTGGCCGAGTATCTGCTCGATGCTGCGAGGAAAATCAACCCGGAGCTGTATGTCGTGGCGGAGCTGTTTACCAACTCCGATGGCACCGACAATGTGTTTGTGAACCGACTGGGCATCACCTCCCTGATCCGTGAGGCACTTTCGGCCTGGGACTCGCACGAGCAGGGTCGCCTGGTCTACCGATATGGAGGAGTGCCTGTGGGTGGCTTCTTTGCCAACTCAGCGCGACACGAGGCCACCAGTGTGGCCCATGCCCTGTTCCTCGATCTCACCCACGACAATCCGTCGCCGGTCGAGAAGCGATCCGTTTATGATCTTCTGCCCTCGGCAGCACTCGTCTCCATGGCCTGCTGTGCCACCGGAAGTAACCGTGGCTACGACGAACTGGTGCCCCATCATGTGAGTGTTCAATTGGTTAAATTATAGCAGGGTTTGGAAAATAACACACTCTGTAAAAAACTTGTGTTATTAACATATTAAATGTAAAAGTGTTAGGTTCAAAAAAGTTATTGACATGTGTGTACAAAATTGTAGCTTACAAATGTTTGAAACATAAATAACACACACAGTTTATTTGTGTTATTTACACGACGTGTTATTACCACGACGTTCTTTTAACACAATGAGTTTTTGAAACGGTTAAAAATAAAAATTGAGATATTCGATTCGTTAATGTCCATAAAATGTAGTTTTCATTTGTGTTAAAAACACAGTGTGTAAAAAATACGTCGTGTTAATAACACATTGTGTAAACAACACAAGTGAGCCTGTGTGTGCTAACAATTATTTTTCACATTTTAACACTTTTGTTTTTGACGCACATATAAAAAAAAACATTGCGCACACTGTAAAATAGAATTTTACATGTTTTTAACATGTGTGTTAAATTCCGAACCCTGAATTATAGTCCTGAATCTAACTCAAAATATCCCACATAGATCCATGTCGTAGATGAGGAACGTACCTACCAAGAATGGGGCAAAGGAGTGGACTCTAAATCTGGAATTATGGGTGCCAAGAGGGCGTTGAATCTGCTGCACGGACAACTTGCGGAGGAGGGCTTTAGCCAGGTGTATGTGGACCAGATGGATCCCAATGTGGTGGCCGTTACTCGCCACTCGCCGACCACCCATCAATCGGTTATCCTGGTTGCCCACACGGCCTTTGGTTATCCCTCTCCGAATGCAGGACCCACGGGAATCCGCCCACTGCGTTTCGAGGGAGTGCTCGATGAGATCATCTTGGAGGCCAGTTTGACCATGAACAGCGACAAGCCTTTCGATCGGCCTGCTCCGTTCAAGAAGGATGCCAACGTGATCAACGGCTTCACCCAGTTTCAGTTGAGCCTGCAAGAGCATATACCTCTGGCAAAGTCCACGGTTTTCCAGAACCAAGCCTTTGTGGATGGCAACAACACGCAACTGAACTTTGCGAATCTGCGACCGGGCACTGTGGTGGCCATACGGGTGTCCATGCATCCGGGTCCGCGTGCCAGCTTCGATAAGCTCCAGAAGATCTCGAACGCCCTGCGCGTGGGTTCGGGTGAGGAATACTCCCAGCTGCAGGCGATCGTCTCCAAATTGGATCTGGTGGCCCTGAGCGGCGCCCTCTTCACCTGCGATGAGGAGGAACGGGATCTGGGCAAAGGTGGCACCGCCTACGACATCCCCAACTTTGGAAAGGTCGTTTACTGCGGCCTCCAGGGATTCGTTTCCCTGCTGACGGAGATTTCGCCCAAAAATGACTTGGGTCATCCGTTCTGCAACAATCTGCGCGATGGAAACTGGATGATGGGTAGGTATTTATAGATGAAGAGATCTTAAATAGTTACTGATTATTATAATTATTCGCAGATTACATTGCCGATCGCTTGACTAGCTATGAGGACTTGAAGCCACTCTCCGCCTGGTTTAAAGCTACCTTCGAGCCCCTGAAGAATATTCCACGCTACCTCATACCCTGCTACTTTGATGCCATTGTCAGTGGGGTTTTCATTGTGCTCATCAATCAGGTCAACGAATTAATGCCTGAGTATGTTTTTTTATCAAATAGGATTTGAAATCATGCTTTTATATTAATTTCCGATTCCCCATAGCTTCATTAAGAATGGCCACAGTTTCACTCAATCCCTAGCTCTGTCCACGCTGCAGTTCCTCTCTGTCTGCAGGTCGGCCAATCTGCCAGGCTTCAGTCCTGCCATTAGTCCACCCAAACCACCGAAGCAATGTGTGACACTATCTGCTGGCCTACCGCATTTCTCGACGGGTAAGTCGAAAATTTCTTTCGATTATAGGGAAATCTCTATAGAGAATCCACAACCCCACGACCGTAGTCCTCATATAGCATAGTTACCGAATTTCACACTTCTGGAGTGATTTTTAGGGCAAATTGCCCTTGTATTTAGAAAAATTGTACGAAAAAATGTAGAAAAGGCCAAAACGATGCCAATCCAAAAATATCACCCTAAGGGCCGTTTTCTCGTCCGTCTGTTAAATTTAAAGGAAGGTTAAACTGCGATTTTTCATACAATTTCATGGGTTTAACCGTACTTTAAATTTAACAGGCGGACGAGAAAACGGCCCTAAATATTAGAAAAATAGAAAAAAAAAATAGTTTAAGGGCGAACATTTTTTTAGGGCAATTTTCTAAAAGTTAGAAAATTATTTTTATGAGTATACTAGATATTAATAAATATTCTCCGAATCCCTAGGCTACATGCGCTGCTGGGGTCGTGACACCTTTATCGCTCTGCGTGGCTCCATGTTCCTCACGGGCCGCTACAACGAAGCCCGCTTCATCATCATCGGATTTGGACAGACCCTTCGACACGGTCTCATTCCGAATTTACTAGACAGCGGCAGCAAGCCGAGGTTCAATTGCCGCGATGCCGTCTGGTGGTGGATGTACTGCATCAAGCAGTATGTGGAGGATGCTCCCAAGGGTGCCGAGATCCTGAGGGACAAGGTGTCGCGCATCTTCCCATACGACGATGCCGAGGCCCATGCTCCGGGAGCCTTTGACCAGCTACTGTTCGACGTGATGCAGGAGGCATTGCAGGTGCATTTCCAGGGATTGCAGTACAGGGAGCGCAACGCAGGCTACGAAATCGATGCGCACATGGTGGACCAGGGCTTCAACAACCACATTGGAGTCCACCCGGAGACGGGCTTCGTGTTCGGGGGCAACAACTTCAACTGCGGCACCTGGATGGACAAGATGGGCTCCTCGCAAAAGGCCGGAAACAAGGGACGACCGAGCACACCACGCGATGGATCCGCCGTGGAGCTAATTGGCCTTCAGTATGCTGTCCTTCGGTTTATGCAAGGTCTGGCCGAGAAGGATGTCATCCCGTACGCGGGCGTGGAAAGGAAGGGACCGTCCGGCGAGGTGACCAAGTGGAGCTACAAGGAGTGGGCCGATCGCATCAAGGACAACTTCGACAGGCACTTCTTTGTTTCGGAGTCGGAAACCTGCTCGGTGGCCAACAAGAAGCTGATCTACAAGGACAGCTACGGAGCTACCCAGAGCTGGACAGACTACCAGCTGCGCTGCAACTTTCCCATCACCCTGACCGTAGCTCCCGAGCTGTGCAATCCCCAAAATGCCTGGCGTGCGCTGGAACGGGCCAGGAAGTACCTTCTCGGGCCGCTGGGCATGAAAACGCTGGATCCCGAGGACTGGAACTACAGGGCCAACTATGACAACTCGAATGACTCCACCGATTGCACAGTGGCCGATGGCGCCAACTACCATCAGGGTCCCGAGTGGGTGTGGCCCATTGGTTTCTACCTCAGGGCGCGCCTGATCTTCGCCAAGAAGTGTGGCCATTTGGACGAGACCATTGCCGAAACGTGGGCCATACTGCGCGCCCATCTGCGAGAGCTGCAGACCTCCCACTGGCGCGGATTGCCAGAGTTGACCAACGATAATGGCTCCTACTGCGGCGACTCCTGCCGCACGCAGGCCTGGAGTGTCGCCGCCATCCTGGAGGTGCTCTACGACCTGCACTCCCTGGGAGCGGATGTGGCCTAGACCAGCCTAAATACTCATACTCAGACCTGTTAGTTGCTACAAAAAACTGTTATTAGTGTTACATTTGATAATTGTACGGATACAAAATGGAATGCCAGATGTTCCTTTAAAAATTTTGCTATTTCCTATTCTATTAAAGTTGCAATTGTTTTTAAGCGATGGTGGTTTTATTTTCTAAGAGAAGTAACTATCGCGGCACACTCGCATGCAGGAGCACTGCGGGGGATCGATGGAGCCAAAGTTCTTCCGAGGAATGTCCCGTCCCACAAAATTCCGAGTTGTGTTTGCCTCGGGAACCTGAATATTCTGTGTTGAAGCAATGTCCTGGGAAATAATTTTAACCGGAGGCATGGGCAATGGCTTCTCCTTCCTTATTTTAGACTTAGCATCCTCTATTTTGAGCTTAAAAACCAATTTAATCCAATTTCTAGACTTAAGCTAACTACTTACTTTGCCACATCTTCTCAGGGCTAAAATGGCTGCTTCACATGTTAAATCGTAGGCTTTCTGCAACACAATTTTCTGGACAACATCGAGAACTAGAGACATTTTGAAGGGCTTACAAAAAAAACTGGGCTATTGATAAACACAAAATTTAGTTATCGACTGAACGAGAAATTTGACACGATATTCCCAAGTCATATGAGCTGTATATATTTGTATATACTCCTAGTCTACAATCTCTTATAAACTAAATAAATACGTGTAAAGTTTATGTACATAAAGCTTTGCATAACTTGTAGACTATCCACATTACGTAAGCAGCGGGGCTTGAGTTCCGTTTGGACTCGCTTGGTAGGATTCGTTTTCAGTGGTTATCTCGGCATCGTCATCTTTGATGGACTTGAGATCGCGTCCTATACTCTCCATGTTCAAGCTCAAGGCAGCTGCGGCTAGATTGTTATTCACTTCATCCAGCTTGGGCTGGCGCAGGCAGTTCTCCTCGTTGGAGGCCTCACGTTTAACCCTCGCCGGTGGTTGCTCTGTAGGATCTCCAGAAGCTCGGAGGTTCAGCAGCTCACGGCGAATGGCCTCCACGTTGTCCTCGAGGTTGGGTTTCTTTATCTCAGAGTCATTTATTGCCTTTGGCTGAGTTGCATTCACCATGAGAGCCAGTGGAATGGGCAATCGCTTGATCAGAGCTGCTCTGTCTACGCTCGCGTTCCCGAGTAGCTCTCCGGTTTTGTAGGACAGCGGTTCGAAGACGCCGGCATGTGCTTCTTTCTCATCGCGCAAATGAGTATTTTCCGTGAGTATGTCCATTAATGATGCCTTGGGCCGGCGCTCCTCCTTTTCCTTAGCAACAGGTGGCGACTCTTTAAGCAATTTCACCTCTTCTTCAACTTTACCAATAGTCTCCAATGGCTCTTTCTTCTCTGACTCCAAAGCTGGCTGACTGAGTGGACTCTTTTTGGCCAGCTCTTCGTTTAACTCGCCCACTGTTTTGGCCAGCAGTTTCTTCGTCTCTTTCAGTTCTTTCTGCGTCTTGAGCAGCTCATCCGCACTAGCCTTACTTTCCTTTTGCTCCTCGGCGGCCACATCCTCTTCTTTCTTGATGGCCGCTCCATCAATTGTATTGCTTGCTGATAATCCTTCTTTTGGAGTATCCAACAGAGCTGCAAGAACAGCAGGTGGATTCTCCTTGGGTTTATCCACTGTGAGGTTAACATCGACTGGTTTGGCTTCTGGTGGGTTTACTTCTATTGCCGCATTTAATAGTTTTTTAGGGTCAATTGCAGCACTATTACTTTCTAGGGGAACTACATGGAGTTCATCGATGGGCAGTGGAGGCAACGGTGGGTTGTCGGAGGAGGCGGTTTGCACTACCTTTGGCTTGTCAACTGCCTTCTCTTCGACAGTTTCTTTAACTAACTCTGGATTCTGGACTTCGAGTTTTTTCAGCAATACGTTCTGTTCGATTTCAATCGGATCTTTGGCCAAATGTTTGGGTAGCTCGCCGACGACAGCGGAAACTTGACCTTCGGGATACAGAGGCGTAACTATCGGAACCATATCGAACTCCGGTCCCGAGCTCTTCTCATCAATAGCACTCAGGTTGGCATAAGTGCCCAGGATCATCAGGAGAAATCCACTGACGAATACAAACTGCGCTAGCGTGCGTTCCATGGATTCCTTTTTGATGATCTTGCGAAAACTGGAGGCTGGAAACATAATACAAATGGCCACGCCAATAGTGGAGCCCACCAAACCAATGATCAGCTCCACCGAGGGGATAACCAGTGCCACGCATAGCGAAAAGACAACAATGAAGATAGTGATAAAACGGAAACGTTGCTCAGGTATGTAGCTGCTGCTCTCCGAGTGACCCTGTCAATAAAAGATAATGGAATTGATACTTCTACGACATTGAAGACACGAAATTACCTTTCTGTATAGCAGCGAATAGAGACTGGCCCTGCAGGGAAAGATAACCAAGGGAAAGCTGAAAGCAATCGACAGCACGAAGCCAATTTTGATGATATCGCTGCCAAAGGAGGTCGATAAATTCACCAGAATGTTGCCTAAAAATACAATGGCAAATATGTAGTTCATAAAATGCGTCAAAAAGGTGGTTTGACTTACCCGAAAAGGTGTGCGTACAGAAGGCCACATATCCGAAAAAGCCAACGGATATGTAAACAAAGGTACAGATCCAGGTGGCATTGCGCACAATGCCGTTGAGCTTGTCTAGACTCTGGTTGTTTATGCTCTCGAAGACCTCAAACAGTTGCCTACGGAATTGATTAAATATTTAATTAATTTATGGATCCACAGAACAAAGAATGCTATTGTACACACATTTGGCAGGAGAGCGCCATGCTGAAGATGGGCAGGCACTGGAGCACGCCCGCCGGCTCCCAGTAGAGCACCTTCTCCGTCCAGTCGTTGGCCGAAATGTGGGGCTGGGCCTCCAGGACGATCTTCAGGATAAGGCAAACATAGAAGCCTATGGAGGCGGTGCACACGGCGGACAAACTGTCCACGTTGCGGAGCATGCCGAGGGGCACTATGCAGACCACCGTGACCACGATCATCACCTGGAAGATAAGAGTTCTTTATCGGTTCTACACTGGAATGCCAGATTCTCTTACCAAACTCCGCAGATGCAGGTGATCCGCCACGTTTAGAGTGAATATCTTGGCGATTATCTGCGGCCCCAGATCGCCAACGACCACAAAGTACGTGATGCACGTCCCAATCAGGTAGCCAATGATGCACAGCTCCACCAGCAGCTTGCCGGAGGGGCCGAAGGCGTGGAGGCCGAGCATCTCGAAGCTCTTCCTACGTGTCAGCAGCGAGGTTTTGATGAGATAGTGGCAGCACACCCGGGTGATGCCGTTGCTCAGCACCAGGAGGAGGATGGACAGCAGGATGCCGCACTTCTGGAAGCAGAAGGGCATGGCCAGGATGCCGACGCCAATGATGCTGTTGGCCAGCGTCATCACATGGGCGGAGTGGGCCAGCATCTTGCCGGGATCGCAGCGTACTTTCACTGGACTCTGGGTTTGGGTTTCTATTGCGATTTCTCGTGCGATTTCTCGTGGGCGTCTGGCCGCCGCGTATGCAGAAACGAGTCAGACAAAGTGCTCGGGCGAACTGATTGCCACCCACCTGTCAATATCTCAGATAGCTATGCGATACGCCGGAAACAACGTACTACGTACTTGTTACTCCGAAACTAAGACTAAGGGCTCTCGACGACTGCACTTGTGTAAGCAAAATTGTAAACAAAATAATCCGGCGGCGACGACGGCGACGGCGGCGGTGGAAGAGACGTTGGCGCTTACATTGAGTGGGCGTAAGTGGAAGTGCTTCAGCAAACATTTGTTCCAATTACTTGTGCGTGCGGTGCGCTGCCAGCGTGCTTGCGCATTTTTACGGCCGCAAGAAAGTTTTAAACCGAATTGTTTGTGTCGTCATCATTGTAGAGGTGGGGAAACATCGATGCCAGCGTCGATGTCATCGATGTTTTTTAAAATGCATCGGTAAGTCATCGATGATTTTGTCATTTTATGCAGGTATTTCCTACGCAGAATTGCTTGCTGGATGGCCACCTTTAAAAATGTTCAAAAAAGAATCTATAGTTGGTATTTCAACAGCACTACCAACAGCCTTTTCTATCTTTGCCGAACAAAACGACGAACAATTTTCTATGCCATTTAAATGTGAAAACTATCACCAACGACGAACGTCGTGTTCGCAAAAATGTTCGTCGAACAAATTCAACTGTGCTTTATCGAGGTTATGTTGTTCCTTATGAACGCTACCAATTTGTTTGCGACTCAGAAGGAGTATTCCTGTTACTAAACCAGAGGTGAATTTAGGCCCCAAATAATTATTCCTAATATAATTATTATAGGGGGATTCCCTAAACTGTTGAATTGCTGAATTGTTGAATTTTGATCAGCTGTTAATCAGCTGTTCCATACAAAGTCAACTTTCAGAAATTTCAGCAATTCATCAGCCTCGGGGCTGTTGAAAATTTTGTTGAATTGCTGAAAAGCCAGAGTTGTCACCTTTTTTTAAAAGTCGTGGCAGCTCTGTAACATTTTAGTATCACCAGTACGGATTATTTATTTTAAAATAAACTTAGAAAGCATATTTGTGGTTCTTTTTACCTTGGTAACACTTTTAGACAGTAACTAGCAATAATAAATCAAATTTTACATGCTTTAAGTTCCGTGAAATTTTTCAACAAATAACAGCTGTTTGAAAATTCAACAGGAACCATTTTGGGTCGTTCCCTTAATTGCTGAAATTTTTTGTTGAATTTTCAACAATTCAACAGTTTAGGGAATCCCCCTTATACCAATACAATTATAAAAATTAGTAAAATGGGCAACACTATCGCTTGAAATTTTTTTTCTATGAAATTCATCAGTGACATCTCTAAAAAATAATCGATAACAATTTGGCATTTCAGCAGCACTTTAAAAGGGTAACACTAGCTATTGCTGGATTTCTGAACGGTTATACCAATTTTCTTAAATTTTTAACACGAGCAGACGTGCTCGCGCACATTAAAATATAAATGTGCAAGAATTTTGGTTTCGAGTGCGAACCAACGAGTGCGGCCCAGCTTCCACGACGCATTCGCCCCGTTTTCCAGCCCGGATGCCTGGCAGAGATGGTGGAGTCTTGTGATTAAAATTTTCCCCGTCTGAGGTACGAAAAAGAAGTGAAAAATTTAAGAAAAAAAATGTCTGCCGCGCGGAGAATCGACGCGCACACCAACACACGGAAGCGACGCCGCCATGGCGCTGCGTATAGTCGTCTCGCTCTGGCAGCCGGGGGCTGGTATGCCGCTGTGTGTGTGTGACGTGCTTATTTTGAGCGTGGAAATCTGGTGAAAATTTTGAAAACCATGCGGACAATGGAAAATATTGTGCGGAAAATATGGGTTTTCCATGCTGCCCCTGCGGAAGAGGGAAAACGCGAGTGTCTGGCGAGGCGTGGAAAATCCCCGAACGCAGGGTTGCATTTGCCCGGTTTTCGAGGGGTGCATTCGGTGTGATAAGCATTTTTTTTTGCTAAGATGACTATTCTTTTATTTGTCCATTTGACAATGGATATTACGCAGTGCGGATAGTAAAATCGTAGGCGTCTGTGCAAATAGAATGGGTTCTAAGGTCTGACCAGGGCTGCAGCATCGGACCATGTGCCCTATCTTTTTTCCCGCCAACCGCTGTCACTTCAAAATAATACTGGGAACTCACATGGCTCTCTGTTGTTGTTGTTGTTTCTTGCAGATGTCTCAAACATGAATGAAGGTAATTCAGCAGGAGGGGGGCAAGAAGGGCTCAGCCCGGCCCCTCCTGCTGTGCCAGACCGCGTAACTCCACATTCAACGGAAATTTCAGTTGCCACAGCCAAGACCACTACGTGCACGCCAGGATCAGGATCAGCAGGAGCAGCCTTGCCGGCCACCCGCCATCACCATCATATTGCGACCCAAGCCAAGGGAATCGCCAGCAGCAGTAGCAAGCAGAAGCAACTGGCCAGTGCGCAGCTGCCTGTGCCGCTGTCGCCCTTGCCGCAACAACAACAGCAAACGACAGAGGCAACGGCAGCAGCAGCAGCAGTAGCACCCGCCAGCACCATAGAATCCTCCGTTTCACCGCCCCAGGCCAAGCGTCAGCGTTTGGACAACAACAACGAGGAAAGGACGAGCGCCACGAGCATTGTTGGAACAGCCGGGAGTAGCAACATTGTGGGCTCCCTGCTCCCAGCATCAGTGGCCTCCAGCAGCGAGGTCGGCGGGCATTCGTCGACGGGTCTGCAGGACCTGAATGCCCTGAAGAAGCGCATACTCCAGCAGAAATTGCAGATCTTGCGTAATCTTAAGGAGCGGTGAGTTTTCTGCTTCAAGCTCTATCACTTCACATAGCTAAAACAATTCCCCACTTTTCCAAAGGCATCTTGAAAATGTGTCCGAATACTTTTACCTACAAAACGGCGGCAGTATGATGGACTACCCCGCGTGGCGCAAGAAGACACCAACCCCGCAGTTCATTAGCTACAGCAATGCGAATCGTATAGATCAGCTGATACACGAGGATAAGCCGAGCACATCAGCAGCAGCTGCGGCCCAAAACCAGACCCAGAAATATACCACCCAGCAGTCAGCCGCTGCCGAGTCGCCAGTGGTCAGCGGGATCAGCACAGGAACGACATCAGCAGCACCATTGGATGGCAACATCAGCAATAACACTGTGAAAACGGTAGGAATCTTAAAAGAAATACATACCTTTACCAACCATTATGATGTTCAAATCAAACTGAGTGCCTTTATCGATCTATTTTTGATTGATTTTGGCGTATTTAAAGGGATGTTCGCAGTAGCGAGGCATTTGTCTGAATGAAACAAAGATATTTTTTGTATGGCCATCTAGATTGCGCTTGTATTTACTCAGATGTTTCTCCTTACAGCAATCTCAAGTGCCAAGCAAGATTGGCAGCAACACAACCCCAACTCCCGCAACAACAGCAAGCAGCACAGCAGCAACTGCAACCACATCAACTGGAATTTCGGTCGAGGCCAGTGGTAATGTCCTGCCACTGGAGGCGGAGATCAAAATCCCAGCCGTTGGAGCCACACCGGTGGCCATTTCGACGAAGCTACCCGCTGCCGTTGTCCAGCTAACGCAACAAGGTAAACTCACCGTGTTCCCGATCGCGTGCTCCGATCTCTCTCATTGTTATGAAGACTTTTGTGTTTCTGTTGTGTTCGTTTCGACCAAACAAAATTGTATTTTTCGTTGTTTCAAATTATTATGTTCGTCCCTATACTTATGCCAAATTTAAAATGTAAAATCGATGCAAAAACTTTAGCCAACTGCATACCAACTCCTGTAACTCCGAAACTGAAACTAAAACTAAAACCGCGCCAGCTGCCAACGCACGTCCTGCACTAAAAAAAACCAATATAATATTGTGGCCGCCAACTATTGTGCATTACTAATACATTACACAAGAAAAGCAAACTAAACTCACAAAATGCAAAGATTATTTTGTTAGTTTACATCACATACACACACCTACTAAAACACAAGCATAACTACATAACATACCCCGTACTGCTGATTATTATTTACAAACTTATTTATTTATCCGATTTCTGTTCCCACATTAATGCTGCCTACATCCTCCTATAACGCACACACTCAACTCACCATAATTGTATCGTTATCGTTATAATATAGGTCACATACCCGGTAGACCTTTAGGAGGTCGTCACGGTATGGTCTTCGGTCAAATTCCCGCTCCTCCTGCTGCCGTAGGAAATCCTTCTGTACCTTTGGTGCCAGGTGCTTATCGTTCGCAAACAACAAAAAACAAAAAAAAAATATCAAAAATCTTTCACAGCTAAAATTCTTTTCGTTTTGATTCCATTCTTATTTAAACCAGTTTGTGTGTTAACTATTGAAGCATTTTATCATTTGCCAAGCAATGTAGTGCATTGATTGATGTGCATAAAGATTATCTGTTCAATTTGTAAATTGTTTTCTAGAATTGGTGTTTATGCCCTTAGTTTTGATTGGTAAACCTGCTTAATACTTTGATTTCAGTTTGAATTGATAAATAATTGATGAATGTATCGTTATATTGATTGCGTTGATTTGTAAGCAAGTTAGCGTACTTAAGCATACTTAGTAAACTAGAAAACGCGTCGAACTTTAGGACTCATCGGGCTTTTTGTCACCACATGCCACTCATCATTAGCTTTAGTCTAGTTATATTCCGCACCGAAAAGCGTTTTCTTGCCAGCCCGTTAAATGCTCTCGAAAATCGTAGATGTGTGCCAGAGCAGCCGTCGCAGCTGCAAATGACCTGGATCCACGAATGAATCAGGTCCAATTTAAGCTGGGCTCACTTAAGTATTCCAATCTGAATCTCTAACTCGGGCGGAAGAGGCAAGCGCACTCTGTGTCACATCGATATATCCAGCCTCATGTGATGACAATTTGTAAGCTTGCCAGAATAAGGCGGCGCTTCGCTTATCCATGTGGCAGCTATGTTTAGCCCAGTTGCCGCATTGAATTCGGGCTCCACACTAAGACTAAGTTTGCATGCAGTTCCCACATCTTTCGTTTAGCAACCGATTCGCAAACGATTCTCATGTTTATTCTACTCCATTCAACCATTATTGCTTTCCTGGTAGCTCTTTCGTACTTGATGCACTTTCCAGCATGCCAAGAGTTGATCTTTTACCTTCATCCTGTAACTAAGTAATTAATTTGCTAATCGATCGCCTGTTGACTTCTTTTCCAAGGTGGCACTCCGCTGTTACCGGTGGGATCTACGGCGCTACGTCGCCCTCAAGGACAAAATGCTGGATCCTCTGCGGCATCTGGAGGAGGAGGAAGCGGAACACCCACACCGCTCTACACGGGCAATGGCCCGGCCGCGCTGGGCGGCAGCGGAGCCCTCACGCCCGGCACTCCCACTTCCGGCAGCCTGCTCAGCCCCGCGTTGGCCGGAGGCTCTGGCACGCCAACCAGCGCGGCGCAGGAGTTCTCGTTCAAGGCCAAGCAGGAGGTGTACGTGATGCAGCGCATATCGGAGCTACAGCGAGAGGGATTATGGACTGAGCGGCGCTTGCCCAAGCTGCAGGAGCCCAGCCGACCCAAGGCGCACTGGGACTACCTCCTCGAGGAGATGGTCTGGCTGGCGGCTGACTTTGCCCAGGAGCGCAAGTGGAAGAAGAACGCGGCCAAGAAGTGCGCCAAGATGGTGCAGAAGTATTTCCAGGACAAGGCCACCGCTGCCCAGAGGGCGGAAAAGGCCCAGGAGCTGCAGCTGAAGCGAGTGGCCTCCTTCATTGCGCGCGAAGTGAAGAGCTTTTGGTCGAATGTCGAGAAGCTGGTCGAGTACAAGCACCAAACTAAGATCGAGGAGAAGCGCAAGCAGGCTCTGGATCAGCATCTCAGCTTTATTGTCGACCAGACGGAGAAGTTCTCGCAGCAGTTGGCCGAGGGAATGAACAAGAGTGTGGCGGACACGCCGAGTCTAAACTCTAGCCGCCTAACATCGCCGAAACGAGAGTCCGATGGTGAGTTATCCTTTGACATGATATCCTAGTAGATTAGAAGAACTTAGCACTTGATGATAAACTACACACTGAAACGTTGTTGTGGTCTATTTTTGAACACTTTAATGTTACCCTAGGATGGTCGCATTTGCGAGGCATTTGCCTGATGCTTTGTTACCTCCTTGATATCTAGTATCTCTAACTTAAAACAAATGCTAATTAAAATGTTTCGTCTGTTTCTAGATGACTTCCGACCTGAATCGGGCTCCGAGGACGATGAGGAGACCATTGCCAAGGCCGAAGAAGAAGCAGCCGATGTCAAGGATGAGGTGACGGCTCTGGCAAAGGAGTCTGAGATGGACTTTGATGACTTCCTCAACGATCTGCCGCCTGGCTATCTGGAGAATCGTGATAAGCTCATGAAGGAGGAGCAGAGCTCTGCTATAAAAACCGAAACGCCTGACGACAGCGATGATAGTGAGTTCGAGGCAAAGGAAGCCAGCGATGATGACGAGAATACCATTAGCAAGCAGGAAGAGGCCGAGCAGGAGATCGACCACAAAAAAGAGATCGATGAGCTGGAGGCCGACAATGATCTCTCGGTGGAGCAGTTGCTGGCGAAATACAAGTCCGCGAGAGCTAGTGACCAGCCTCCCAGTCCAAAGCGACGGAAATTGACGCCGCGTGGCCCTGAGCTGGACTCGGATGATGACTCGACGGCTGTTGATGATTCCACCGACGAAAGCGAAGAGGAGGCCACTGAGGATGAAGAAGATCTGTCGACTATTAAAACTGATACGGATATGGAGGAGCAGGACGAAGCGGAAGACGGCCTTAAAAGTCTGCTGACGGATGCCGATGCAACTGGTGGAGCTGTCGGCAGTGGAACCGCCGCAGGAGCAAGCGGCAACAAGGACGACATGCTAAACGATGCTGCCGCCTTAGCCGAAAGTCTTCAGCCCAAGGGTAACACCTTGTCCTCCACCAATGTGGTTACGCCAGTGCCCTTCCTGCTCAAGCACTCGCTGCGTGAGTATCAGCACATCGGACTCGATTGGCTGGTCACCATGAACGAGCGCAAGCTAAACGGCATTTTGGCCGACGAGATGGGTCTGGGCAAGACCATCCAAACCATCGCTCTGTTGGCGCACCTCGCCTGCGCCAGGGGCAACTGGGGACCTCACCTCATTGTGGTCCCCTCGTCTGTGATGCTCAACTGGGAAATGGAGTTCAAGAAGTGGTGTCCCGGCTTCAAAATACTCACCTACTACGGCTCCCAAAAGGAGCGCAAGCTGAAGCGCGTGGGCTGGACAAAGCCGAATGCTTTCCATGTGTGCATCACGTCCTACAAGCTGGTGGTGCAGGATCAACAGAGCTTTCGCCGCAAAAAGTGGAAGTACCTCATCCTGGATGAGGCGCAGAATATTAAGAACTTCAAGTCCCAACGATGGCAACTGCTACTTAACTTTTCCACAGAGAGGTGAGTAATGGTTATTAGCTTAGCTTGCCTGCCAGCACCGTAAATCAGTAACCATGCGATTGCTAAACTAGCATGGCGACTACGCTTAGGTGCTAAAATTAAATTCGCTATAATGCCGCATACTAAACCAGAGCATGCTAATCCAGCCCTAGAATGCTTGTGGCCTTGTTTCGATACAAATAACCAAGATGCCTTTAATACGAGTGGATTTAATAAGTATTCTTTTCTAATTTTATAGACGCCTGCTGTTGACTGGAACCCCACTGCAGAACGATCTGATGGAGCTGTGGTCCTTGATGCACTTCCTCATGCCATATGTGTTCTCATCGCACCGCGAGTTTAAGGAGTGGTTCTCCAACCCAATGACGGGCATGATTGAAGGCAACTTGGAGTACAACGAGACTTTGATAACGCGTTTGCACAAGGTAAGCATATCAATAATTTAAAAATTTATTGTCTTTAGTTATTTAGCACCTAAAAGCGTTTTCTTGCAAGCCTGTTAAATGCTCTTGAAAATCGTAGTTGTGTGCAAGAGCAATCTCACAATAGCAAGTGATATTAGTTTTTCATAACTTTGATCCGTTTACATTGTGAACATCCCCTTACACCATCAAAAATATAATATTTCTTTTGCACCTAAAAGCGTTTTCTTGTCAGCCTGTTAAATGCTCTTGAAAATCGTAGTTGTGTGCCAGAGCAATCCTCACAATAGCAAGTGATTTTAGTTTTTTAAACTTAAATCCGTTTACATTGTGAACATTCTCAATAAGATTACAAAATCTGGTTTTGACTTAGGTTAGGCAAATGCACTCTGTGTCACATTGAATTAAACCACATGTGATGACAATTTGTTA